TCAGTGTTTTCAAACCACCTTCTCCCAGTAACTTGAGCACATCTCCAGGTACATCATCATCTCCTGTAGCCTTTCCCTTCCTCATTTCCTTGATAGCTTTTTCCACTTCACTTTGTAAAATATATGGTCCTTTCCCGTCTGTATCTACTTCTTCTTCTGGTTCAACTTCTAAGGTTTCTGCCCGATTAGGTCGATCATATAGTTCTGTAATATACTTTTCCCAAATTTTCAGCACTTTCCTCTGATCTACTATTCTATTCCCCTGGGAGTCTTCGATGCCAACATTTTGAATCCCATGATTCTCTTTCCATCCTAGTTCTTTTGTCTTCATGTACATCAAATCATAACGTCCTGTTCTTTGAAATTCCATAATCTCATTACATATCTTCTCAAGATATTCCTTCTTTGCCCTGTCCATGGCTCCTTTCAATTCATTCCTCAGTCTCCTGTATTTCCTCCTGCCTTCTTCATTGTTGACATTCTTCCATTTCCTTCGCTCCTCCATTTTACTCATCTCCTGTGTAACCCATGCTTTTCTTGCTATCTTCTCAACTTTACCAACCAAATCACTGATAATATCTAACACGCATTACTTAATATATAAAACTAAAACAATTCTTAAGTTATTGTAGTATGAACATAACAGTACTCTAGTAATAAAAACCTAGTAAATGGCAACATAGCATTAACTACAAATACATTCCATCATATATGTAATATCATCCCAATATAATCAATAATACTCGATTTTTGCAGATCTAATACAATCATCTTTTAAAGAATTCCTTCAATGTATAGAAAGAATATGAATACAGAAAGTCCTTTACATTAACTTCAAACTTTTTGGATTATTAGAGATTTCTTTAAGGTTATAAGGAAGTTATATAAGTTATATAACTGGTTTTATGTTCCTTATTGCTGATAATCTAGTAATGTAAAAATGTTCATGTTGGTAATAGTGATCTATATTCATTTGTTTTTGTTTTGTATTATAATAAAAAGTTATTCTCATCCAATATGACTGTTAAGTGATATGTAAGCATGACACAAAGAAAATCAACAGGTTATGGGCACAGATTTGCTCAAAAAGGAGAAGAAGAAGGAAAGAGAGAAAAAAAAGGAGAAGACAGAAGAAAAATAACGAAAAATAGCAACCACACAGAGACAGAAGAGATAATGCATCTGCCAAAACTGAAGGACCCCGACTCATTTCCATTGTGGGATTTTGAAATAAAGATTCTGATGTGCGCAAAAGAACTGATAAACATCATTGATGGCAGAGACCTGTTAAGTGACCAAGGATGAGATGAAGAAAACATAAGGAAATGGAAGATGCGAGATGCAAAGTGACAATACTATATAGTGAGAACGATAAAGAAACACGTGAAGAGCCACATTGTGACATGCACAACTGCGAAAGAAATGTATGACACTTTGAAGCAAATTTATCAGCGAGACACCTCTCAACAGAAGTGCCTTCTGCTACAAGACTTCTACAACTTCAAGTATGACAAAACTAAGGATATGATGACGAATATAAGTCATGTGCAGAACATTGCCTCCAAGCTTCATCAACTGAACCAAAACGTTGATGAAAACATGATCATGACAAAAATAACAACGATTCAACAGAAGACTACAAACACTTCAGCACCACTTGGGACTCAACGGCGACCGTGGACAGAACCCTTGACAACCTGGTAGCCAGACTGATGTTGGAAGAAGTGAAGTGCAAGATGACAACTAAAGAAGAGGAAAGCATAGCCTTTAAGACAGTAACTAAAACCAAAAGTAAAACCCCTTTCAAGTGTTTCAATTGTAATCAAATAGGTCATGCCCAGATCAACTGCACCAACAAAGGTAAGAGAAATTACTCTATCTGTAAAAGGAATAATCACTCTGAAAACGACTGTTACTTTAGAAATAAGGACGATGATATGAGAAAATAATGTACAATATGTAAGGAAACGAACCATGTTGAAAAGGACTGTTATTTTAAAGACAGGAATAAAAGAAGAAAGGTCAATTTTCTAGCTGAAGCAGCAGAAACCCACGTGAGTGATGCAAGTAAAAACGACAAAATGTATGTAGTGGATAGTGGTAGCACGTGTCATATGACAAATGTGAAGACTGATTTGATACATACTAAGCAGTATACTCAATGTATAAAGGTAGCAAAGCAAAATCAAAGTATGACTGCAAAAGAAATAGGCAATTTGGAATTTAAAGAGTGTAGTTTCAAAAACGTTTCATATGTTCCAGAACTCAGCAAAAACCTGCTGTCAGTGCACTGTATTACAGAAAATGATGGAGAAGTGTTGTTTACAAAAGAGAAAGTCCAGATATTCAAGGACAAAAATGTTGTAATCAGAGGAAAAAAGGATGAAAATGGATTGTTTGTAAATAACTTTAGCGTGAGGAATGAAGCTATGACGACTCAGCAAGTTATAAGGGTAGAGTGGCATAGAAACCTAGGTCACATAAGTTATGCGAATCTTAGGAAACTACAAGAGATATGCCAAGGGATACCAGAAAGTGTGAGCAAGTGTAAAAATTTTGATATATGTTCAGTTTGTATGCAGGCCAAACAAGTGAGACTCCCATTTGATACAGAAAGAAGCAGGGCTGGAAAGCCATTAGAGATAATTCATAGTGACGTGTGTGGAACAATTGATTCCACCACTTATGAGAATAAGAAATATTTCCTCGCGTGTGTGGATGATTATACACATTTTTGTAAGACATACCTGTGAGAAAATAAGAGTGAAGTGTATACCTTTTTGAAGGAATATGTAAATGAAGCTGAGTGTCACTTCATTACAAGAGTGAGAAGATGCGACAATGGAGGGGAATATAAGAACAATGCCTTGAGAGAATGGTGTAAGAACAAGGGGTTTGTAATGGAAATTACTACAGCATATTCGCCACAGCTAAATGGCACTGCCGAAAGGATGAACTGTACCATTGTGGAAAAGGCAAGAGCATTGATTTTTGACTCAGGTTTAAGTAAGAGAATGTGGGGTGAAGCTGTACTCACTTCTGCATACCTGCTAAACAGAAGTTCAACAGTGACAGTAAATGGAACGCCAGCAGAGAAATGGTATGGTAAAAGACCAGATCTGGCTGGATTGAAGATTTTTGGTTCAGAAGTGTACACTAAAATTCTCTTAACATTGAAAAATTTGGACAGTTGTAGCAAGAAAGGAATATTTGTTGGATACAACAAAAATGGTTACAGAATATGGGATCCAAATACTGAAAGGACCTATGTCTCCAGAGATGTGACATTCACAAGTAAACCTGTGACAACAAATAAACAAAAGGAAATGGAAAGAGTGACGAATCCAGAAGACAAGCCAAATACTCCAGATCAGCAAGAAACCGAAGCTGACAACAATGAAAAAGAACCAACAAATAATGAAGAGGATGAAGAAAATGAAAATGCTGACCACAAGGATAATGGAAGGAAAAACAGTGGATAAAACGAACATGGATGTGCACTGAGACCAAGAAGAAACATTCAAATGCACCCGAAGTACCGAGACTATCACACAGAGAGTCAAAAGGAGGGTATGCTCACCTATACATATTACAAGTGCATGGAGAGTGAAGACAGCGAAAATTGGAAGAAAACCATTAAAGAGGAAAAGGATTCGCTCTACCAAAACAAAACTTGGATATATGTAAACAGAGAGAATGTAATGGGCAAGAAAATTCTGACCAGTAAATGGGTTTTCAAAATAAAGGATGATGTTGACAACATTTTGAAATTAAGGAGGAATGTTGAGAATCTAGTAATGTAAAAATGTTCATGTTAGTAACAGTGATCTATATTCATTTGTTTTTGTTTTGTATTATAATGAAAAGTTCTTCTCATCCAATATAATTGTTAAGTGATATGTAAGCACGACACAAAGAAAATCAACACTTATCACGTAGCAGGCTGAGCTTAATTTATTTATAACCTCTTCAATATGTCTTTCCCAAGTCAAGGAGCTCTCAATAATAAAGTCAAGAAATTTATTTTCATAAGAGCTCATAATGAATGTACCTACATTTCCTATATCCCTCTCAACCAACATATTGTTTTTTACAGTGAAATTGATGCAATCTCTTTCACTGTATTTAATGACAATAAGTTCTTTCTAAACCAATCATCATGTATCCCATAAACTTCATTTAGTGTATTTTTAAACTGTAAAGGATTAATTAGCATGTGAAATCAGGACACTAGCATTGTCAGCAAATAAAATACAGACACTATTTGACTCCAAAATCTTAGGTAAGTCATTTATATATACTATAAACAACAGTGGTCCCAGCAATGAACCTTGTGGAACCCCATTCGTAACTTTAACCCATTCAGAGAGTACTTTTTTATTATCTAGTCCATTTAAAATTAATGCTCTCTGAAATCTATCTTGTAAATAAGACTTATAAATATTATTCTGTTTATCATTTATTCCATAATACTTTAATTTATCCAATAATACTTCATGACTAACACAATCGAATGCTTTTTCCAAGTCACAAAAAATGTCACTAACTAATGTGTTATGATTTAGTGAATTCAATATTTGTGAGAATGTGGAAAAGTGTATACAGGAGAGATGGGTCAATCTATTTTAGAAAAGTGTAAAGAACATGGAAAAAATTTGTAATTTTTTCTAAATTCACTTAGTATGGGGTGGAGTCCAGCTGGGTCCACTCGGCATGGTGGCCACTGATTGGCCTATTGTACCTGACCCGGGTGATTATGATGATGGAGAATTTTGGTGGAATGAAGATTGGCAGGGGAAACCGAAGTACTCGGAGAAAACCTGCCCCAGCACCACTTTGTCCAGCACAAATCCCACTTGACCAGACCCAGGATTGAACTCGGGCCACCGCGGTGGGAAGCCAGCGACTAACCACTTGAGCTATGGGGTGGCCAAACAACATGGTCAATATCCACATTTTATCAACTGGACCAGTCCAGAGTGGAAGAACACAACATAGGATAAGGCCACTGGAACAAAATCCATGAGACCGAAATATCAGCAAAAACATCAGGCTATGTAGATGGATTTGTCACAACATCAATAGAAATAAAATTACATCTTAACAATATTAACACAGAGGAAGGTTTCATATATAGCAAAGCATGGAATTCCAGCACCAGATTATTAAGGCACTTCAACACACATACATCAGGATAATCCCAAGAAGACAATACAAGGATGAACTGACTAACTCCATGGAACCAAGTCCTTCTTCAAAAGTTTCCAGTCACTCAGCTACTGAAGATATTGCCAAAACTTTATGAAACCCAAAGACTCAAAGACTTTGTTTGTTCAGTGTCTGCTCAAGTACAAATTGTCCCTCTGCTAGATGCACTGCAACTGCTAATGTTGTTTGCAGTGACACAGACAATTTGGAATTAAAGGAGTTTTTCTTAATCATACCACTGACTTAAACAGGCCATTCTCTAAGATATTTATGAGGTAAAACTTTCCTTCTCCTTAATTAAGCACCATGCAATGAAGACGTGTGGAGAGGAGAGGCAGGCCTATAACTCCAAGCATTCTTAACCTTGGCACTAGATTGAGGTGAATGACCAGCTTCTTAGCATGGCCACCATTTCCTTGGATAAAGGGCCCCCTGTAGTCATTGGCTAAGAGACTGGGTGACCACGGAGCCAGTGTGTATGCTGTAGAAAAGAGAAAACCTCTGCCCCTACCGCAAAATGAAACTCTATTCCCTGGTCAACCAGCCCATAGTCTAGTCAGAGTATTGACTGAGACATCCCAACTCCAGAATGCATAAAAGATATGTTAATAACAAGCAAATCAAATTTCATAATTAGGCATAAATTACTGAAGAAAAGCTGAATTTTGAAGTAAACAATAATCTGAATACATGCAGAGAAATAACAGATTAATGACACTTGCTATGTGTACGGAGACAGTCCTTACATACATGAAAGCAAAATAAAGATCAACATTGTGCATACAACACAAAATGTATGACAATGTCAACAGTATATTCACATTTCACAATGAGATTACCTATTTTCCAACTTATCTGAATATCAAATGCTACTTACCATCTGTGAGTGTTGTTACATTTCTGACTTCAGGTTCTGAAATATTAGTATTACTGTCCATAGCCCTAACAGAGACTTCATAATTTACACAAGCTTCAAGTCCCTCTATGACAAAGAATTCTTTTGTAGTACGACTGCCATTGCTGCTGTTCTCATACATAGTGGATTTCCACTCTATGACATAATGTGTGACACAGGAATCATTTTTACTTGGGTTTGTCCAGTTTAATGTTATTGCATGAGACCCTTCAGTCACACTTAAATTCTCAACTTTTTCAGGACCTGTAAACATACATAATTGAAAGAACATCATTTGCCATTCAGAGTAAGTTGTGTCATTGGAAATACAAATAAAGACACGTAAATAGACTTCCATAATTTAGGCATGAACTCTTATGTACATGTAAGATTTGAGGTTTTCACGGCAGTGACTATGAATAAAGCCGTCTTCTGAGATGTGGTGCCATGTACAAATTGTGTTAACCGACGCTTCGGGGGAACGTATCACCTCTATCTTCAGGGTAGAAGACAAGAAGAAATCTGCCACACTCACTTCCCTCCTTCTCTTATACAGCTGTGTTTACTCAACTGGACTCAGTCTGTTGCACCTGCTTTAGCTGGTTTGCTTGAGGATTTTTTCTTGTCTTCTACCCTGAAGATGGAGGCGATACGTTCCTCCGAAACGTCGGTTAACACAATTTCTACACGGTGCCACATCCCAGAAGACGGCTTTCTTCTCATGTACATATTTCAATTTCCTGTAGAGAAATAAAATATCATAACAACATTTTAAATTACAGAATATAACAACACAAATACAAACAGAGCTCCATGCACATCTTTTTTATGAGTTCTAAGAATCAATTATTTATGTGGTAGTGTGGCTGACTAGAGAGAATGACAGAGACTGTAAAACTAATCTCCTTTAGCTAAATAAGATTTTAAGTGCTCACAGTGAATAATTGTGCAATCTTCTTGAGTGATCAGCCATGTCAATGTTGAGGTAACCTTTAAATGCCTGACTTCTGAAATGGTGGTAAGCTTGAGCTGGCCAGAGCTTACTTAAATGCCTGTTGCCACTCTTCATTTAAACGTCAGTTCCTATTATGGTTCTTAAACAATTTTAAGCATTGTGTTTAAAAATGCTGTATCTAACTCAATTTTTATGATAAATTGATAGTATTAACTTTGTCTGTATCAGCAAAGAACATAGTGTCACATATTGTAACAGATGATTTGAAAATTTTTATACAAAGAGTTATACGCTATTTTCAATTCTTTTCTTTTAATTTTGATACGTACTGCAAAAATGGTTTCCCAGTTCTTCACAGAGTTGTTCTGCATTATAAATTAATTTCTGTTTGTAACACTTGACTAATTTTAGCCATCCCTGGTGTCATAAAACAGATGAAAGCAATAAAATCATTTGGTCTTCTGCTAGCACTGTTTACACTCTTCGGATTTTCGAATCTTTTGACTAAAGGACAGAAGAATGAAAGAATGGCTATTTAAGAGAAAGCTAGAGGGGTCCCTTCTTCAGTGCTAAGACCTTCCATTATAGCTGCAAGAGATTATTGCCCTTTCTATGGTCATGAAGATACAGTTGCATCATGGCTGAGATACAGAGTGCGATCTGTTTTCTGTGCGTTCATAGTGAAATCAAATACTGTAGTTCCATTTCAGCATATATATATATATATATCAAGCAGATAACAACAAAAAAGGTATGTACATCGAATTTTACTATATATTTTTAACACATTAATTTGCAGAATCTGCAATAAAATTACTGGCTCATGGATGAGTTTGGGCATAACTCATACGTATATCCTTTTTTGCAGTTGTTCACTTAGGTATCATTTTAATTCCTCTATTATGGTTTTACTCAAGTCTGTCTGTTAATTATTACATTTAAAAATAAATATTTAGGACTGTGCATGCACTTCTACTAGCGGTGTGTGCGCGCACTTCCACTAGCAGAGTTTAAATCCCTGACTGGCCAAAACGGGGTACTTTGGCCACGACGACCATACTCATCGCTGGCACGATCGGGGCACTTCGGTCATTAAAGGTTAAGAGCCAAGCTTTTGGAGATCTTTGTCTCCTTATTAGGAACAATGTTGATGGTGTTGATTGACCCTGATTATGGAGATTATCTCTGGAAGATAGAATTTTAACCAAAATTCACACAGCTGATTGATCAAAGAGATTTTTGTTCCTTTAGGTATTTCACCATGCCTGAATCATTTCCCTCATTCCTACAGTTTTACAATAAGTTCTTAACAGCCACTTTATGAAACAGTGGCACAAATATGCTTGATGTACACTCACACACAATGATATAAAAATTTTCTGAAACATCTTAAATTTTACAGTTTGTCAAAGAAATTGTGTTCTAGAGCATAGTATGGTCACATTTTATTTAAGGGATGTGTTCCTCAAGACCACGCATAATTCAAAACTCTTATATCTTAAGGCAAGTTCTCTCATAGGAATAAATTCACTTTATTTCAAACTTTAACCAAAGTTAGGCTTTATTAATATTTTTTATATCACACTAAATCAAATTCGTGCAAAATGTGACCACACTCTACTGCCTCCTATGATTTATTACCATGCAGTACAGTAGAAGTTCTCTGATGTTTTGGAGGAACATACCGCTTCCCACTTCAGGGTTGAAGAATGGCTTACTCTTCAACCCTCAGGATGGAGGTCATACATTTTTTGAAAATATCTGTAAACTTGTACAGGACTATATAGCAGTACATCCCAGAAGAAGGCATTCTTCATAGCAAGTACTGTGAAAATCTTAAATCTAAAAATTTGTGTCATCCTATGATGATGAAAATATATAAATTTACCTTTTAGGCTGCAATATTATAGTACAATTATCTTCACATTTCTTACAATTTCCGTTCTACAGAATACTATTATCTCATTGTTTTTCTTGATTCTTACCTTCTGCACATTCTAATTCTCCAGTACTCAGAGTTCCAGGTGCATATGTGGCTGAATAACTGAATGTGGATTGTGATGCAAATTCTTTTCCTGTATAGTTCCCACCTTTGCTTGTCAGTGTCTTCACATATTCAGTGGACGTTTCTGAAGTTCTTGATGGGCCTACAGTGTTATCAGGATATGGGATGGTTGATCCAGAACTCCCTTTACTATCTGTATTGTTATTGACAATATTCGGTTTTGAAAGGCTTAATAAGCAGATGAAAGAAAAACACAACAAAACAGTTCCAAGGAACATCTTCAAGAACTACTCGTGGCAAATTATACTTCTTTCAGTCCCCATGTGCACCTGTTCCACATATATTAACTGCACATAAAATGGTTGATGGACTAATCTGAAACTGAGAAATAGAATAACATATTTCAAATTTGATACTGTAGCATCCTGTTGCATTGTAATACAGCCGGGGTTATGTTCTCTGCATTCCATATGCAATGCAAGTCGCAGTGTACCAGCTTAAGAAACAGAACAACAAATGTATCCACATAATGATGATCAAGTAATGATCAAAACATCATAATATCCAGTGAATAATGATGACCTTGTGATCGATTAATAAAACCACACACTTAAACATCACTGGAGTGCTGCTTATACAGACAGTGAATATAATACCACTTTTTCAGATTATTTCACACCTCATTACATTCATCTTCTGTAGCAACTATTAAACTTCTAATTTATGAATATAGTTACGATTGTTGTTTTCTGGGTTGTGTAGTCTTGTAGGCAGTTATCAATATTTTAGAGGGACATGCTGACTCCATCTTAAGGGTCAAAGGGTGTAATGTAAGGAATTGGTTCAGTTACACAAGTATGCTGCATGGAGGCCTCTGAATTGTTGGTATCCACCTACAGGAGTCTGTGACGTCACAATCAAGAAGACCCCCCCCCTGACAAATTCAAAACTTGTATGATACTCTGTTTTCAGATGTGATGTCATGTGGTCTGGTAGAAGTTTACCAGTGTTCCTCTGAAGTAAAACATCAGTCAACTTTTTACATGGCACCATATTCCAGCAGATAGTACTCATCCTAATCACTGCTGTAAGAACCACAAATCTCATTCATGTTAATGTTTTTGTTACACAGAACTGATCCCAGGAGATGGACTTTTAATAACAGAATCTATAAGCGCTTTGGAACTGAAATGCTCTGAATAATATCTTCATCTGAAAGAAATTACATTGGTATCATGGATAATATGCAATGAGGGACCTTTTGGCCTACATAGTTCACCTACTGTTGTTACAGCACTCCAAGCAAGGTGGATACTAACAATGGGCTGGACTTCTTTTTCCTGGGGGGGGGTTACTTAATGTAGAATGGTTATGATGGAGGTATGGTACTACTCATGTTCTCACAGACCCATCAGATTAGNAGCCCCTCCCCCCCTCTCTCTTACAGAACCACCTTTAGAATCATCTTTTTATTATAAAGCTCAGCCATGAATAACTTTTAGGGTAAAGAAACTGACTCATATGAGTGTTGTAAAGCAGAAATTAAACTATACTACTAAAAAAAGCGTACTTACATAAATAAAAAAAAAAGGACTGTCTTGAAAAGGGTGGCAGCATATTCCTCCAAAGCATTAGCACCTATCTATTAGATTATAAGATATCACATTCCAGAGGACCATATCTTACAATTCATCAATGTGAGAACCTTAAATGTAAGATCTATTATAAATCTATCAAAACTTGCTACTAATTACACGTTCAATTCCTGGCAAGGTCAAGAGATTTTTCTCTTCTCCACAGCATCCAGACTGTCTCTGGGACCCACAAAGCCTCCTATCCAATTGGTACCAGACACCAGAGACTCTTTCTCTGGGGGTAAAGTGGCAGAGGCACAAATATGAACACTCACCTACATTTGGTGTCATGGTTATGCATGGTGGAGCTATACATACACCCACTCCCACATACACCTTCATGGCATGGTGCTTCATTAATTATGCACAGGGAAAATGTTACTTGCATTACTTACAATCACATCGGTACCAAAATATCTATGATTAAGTTAATTTCTAACGTGGTTTGTGATTGAAATTAAAACTAACTCCCTTGATGCACATTTTGAGAAACATGAAAGGAAAGAGGAAAGTAGAAGAAGAAAAGAGAGAAAGAATAAAATAAGAATTGCAGAAGGAAAGAGGTAAAGAAAAATGAAAGAAAGAAATAAAGAAAAGAGAAAGAAATGTGGAAGACAGGAAAAAGAGAAAGAAAGAACAGAAAAACAAATAAAGCCTTAAGTGTTAATATAAAGTTACTGTACCACATACATTACTCAGGACATTATAAAGAGTGAAGAAGAGGTTTGGTGATAACATCTAGAAGGAAGTTTATAAGTCAAGTTACGTCCTGTCAACATGCACATTTTGCATCATTTCCTGCACAGGAATATGTACAGCATAGAAGACTAAATACAAGGAAATAAAGTTGTTGTTGATTCACACAACCCAAAAGCGAGATTAATCTCTTATCCCAGTGCTGAAACAGTTAGATCAAATATTTGCTTATGTGTATAATTCTGCAACGTGAGTATCGCACAAGCAGCATCTTTGCCGAAATGATTAAATGAGGTTCTGTTAATTTATTGACATAGCATTTCTAACAATCAAACAGATCATTCTATCAAAATAAAATATTTGACTCTAAAACACAAAATATGAAAATACTAGTTCAATAACTTCGTACAGCTACATTTTCTTTTCTAAGAAAGCAATTATTGCATGANTTTACCACTGCTTGATGTAATGCTTTAGAGCATGGAGTAAATCTTGTGTAACAAAATTGCTTCAAAAGGAGAACAGGGACAGAATCTCATCCACAAAGAAATGGTTTTCATCACCACATTTAAACACAGACAGCATAAGAAACTGTCCACAACTGTGCATATAAAATGGCCAATGTGTACAGCAGATGTGTGTTAAGTCAACTTCAGAAGGTAATTGGTTTTCTTGTATGTGGGTGTGACATGTTTGTAGCAGGGCTAACTAGTTATTGATATTTATGCCCTCTAACATGCTAAAAACCAACATTAAGATACAGCTGCAAAGTAACTGAAATCCTGTAAAAATTATCAATAATCCTACTGCAATAAAATTGAATTACAAAACAAACTAGAAATCTTCTTCCTCAAACAATCATTCTTTTTAAATTTCTTGGCAGCTCTTTCCTCTCGTCTTGCAATCTTCCAAAATTTGCTTGAAACATCTTGTTCTTGGTTATCCCATAGATCTCCTTCATTTGAATCTGAATTTTAATGACCTTGGCCTCTCAGCATACATGTTCTATCCATTCTCTTCACATAGCCAAACCAATGTAACCATTTCCTTTCTAAATCTGCTACCAAATTCTGAACTTCAAGTCCTCCTCTAATGCTAACTACATAGAGCTGAGCCCCTCCTGAGAAACTAATAATTGCTCAGTTACTCAAGAAATTCCCAAAATTTTATGAACCTGAACTTTCATTACTGTGTATACAAAAGCCTTCTGCCTGTCCATATCCTGAGCCAGATGAATCCAATCCACGCCTTCCCATCCTATTTAAAGATACTTTTTAATATTACCCTCCAATCTATGCCTAGGTCCTCCTAGTGGGCTCTTTCCTACAGGTTCTCCTACCAAAATTTGGATGCACTTCTCTCTCATGTGTCCTACATGCCCTGTCAATTTCATCCTCCTCGATTTGATCATTTGGACTTCTCTAATAGTAAATATATCAGGTATTATCATGGCCCACAGACTGGCTATTCTCATTGACTTTTCGTGGTTTTCCTCAGTTCCATCAGGCAAATGCCAGGAGAGTACATTAATTACACCATGACTGCTCACTTCCATAGCCTTTCTGAGTCATTATTCACAATTGTCCTATCATTCAACACTATATAGTCTGAATCACTGATAGCTTGAAGATTACTGTTTTCTGGTGATGTTGTGTAGTCTTGCAGGTCCTTTAAGTCAAACATGCTGCACATTCCTCTTAACTGTCAGTAACAACACACCATACTACACAGTGCCACATCCCAGACGATAGTAATGTTCATAGTTATCACTCTGAGAACCTCAAAATTCCATACACAAATAAAATAAGCCATTTATATAATAATATATCCAGCTGAATCAATGATAAGGTTAGCCTTGTAATTGTGTTACATGTGCCAGGTCTGCAAATTCAACTCAGAGATCCCGGTCTGTAACTTGATAGGGATAAACGTCAGTATTTTATATGTGAAAGACCCAAGATCGACCATAAACACTCTGAAAGCTTATCCCTAACTGGAAATTAATCTCCAAAATATAGTCATCTACATTACCACCAATGTAAGTTGCTCTTTATGTACAATTTACACCTATTACTTAGTACTCTAATGGTAATTACATGAAGGCAGTTAGGGCACGGTTATTGTGAGGCATGCATTAGTTAAGGAAGAAACTCCTACAATACTTCAGTGGGGGGGAACTTCATGAAAACAAGCCATTTACAGATAAACAAATATAAATGTATAACATAGCATATTACATGAAGTGCTTTATACCCTTTCAATACAGTGTTCAAAAGTGTGGAAAATTTAAAAGCTTATATCGTCAAGAGAGTTTAGATGTTATACAAGTCCATGTGAACTTGGAAAAAAATTATATTTGTGGTTTAAATGTCACTGAAGATTGAAATTGCAGCCTATTGGGTTATGATACTCCATAATCTATATGGTTGCCAAAGTTTTGGAGGAACCTCCTTCAGGGTATGTCACTTTATCCTGATGATGGAGGCATCAAGTTCCTCCAAAACACTGGTATCTATCTATCAGACTACATAGTATCATAACCAGATGACAACAATCTAAATGAATAAAAAATGTTTATTTACTTATTTCTTTGTGGTTTATTTAACAATGATGTCAGTAGCTCATGCTACATGGCATTAATATTAAGATGATAGTTGTCCTCATGATCAATTAAGCACTACGCCATGAAGACGCATGGAGTGGAGTGGAGGTATAGCTCCACCATTCTTGCCCTCAGCATTAAATGGAGGTGAATGGTCAGCTTCACACCCTGCCTGCTTTACCTAAAGGAAAGAGCCCCCTTTACCCACTGGATAGGATGCAGTGTGGGTCCCAGAGCCAGTTTGGATGGAGCCACTGTTGAATTGTTAATAATGTGGAAGAAAGTGTTCATGACCTACTTCAAGGTACTGTGTTGGCATCAGATTTGAAAGACTGGGGAAAACTATGAAAACCTCAGTCAGGATAGTTGGTGCCCCAGCTGAGGTTCGAATTGGGTATCTTGTAACACAAGCCAGAAGCAATACTGCTTGAACCATCTTCCTCAGGCTCTTATTGTTAAATAATTCTTTGGCTATTTAGTAACCGCTTTTAATAGCAACGGTTTACATTATTGAAGGAGAAGAGAAAATGATTAATAGATGAGGATGGGGAAGGAGGCACTCATGACCTATTTTGAGATACTAATCTGAACGGAATCAGGTAAACCACAAAAGCTTCAGTCAGGATAAAAGTAATGTGACTATGATTCAAGCTGGGTACCTCCTCCCCACCCCCAAGGCATAGATATGCCAACCAGCTCAGCAAGTTTGTTATCCTGTTCCAGTCTATAAGGTTCTACATGTATCTATATCAACATCTCATACAATGAGAAAGATAAATGTGAATTACATTACTGATAACAAGATCTACTCTGCCTTTGACAAATCAACCATGTTTCACCTGTGATTAACGTATTTATTTGAACTAGCCCTGTATTAGCATTTCTGATTCTGTATCCTAGATCATATAAAATATTTAGTGCTGATTAAGAATCTTAATACAGGGTTTTAAATGTAAAATGTAAAGAACAGAGACCACTTGGAAGACTTAAGGCTAAATAGAGCAGATAATATTAGAATGGATATCAAAAAATTTAGGTGAGAAGGTGAAGACAAGATTCAGTTAACTCTGGATAGGGACATAGACACTGGCAGGGGGTTGGGGGAAGCCAGGCAATCCTCCCTCCCATACTGTAATTTGAAAAAGAAAATTATTTTTTAAAAAATTCTGTGTTCTAGTGGTCAGAGTTCATGGCTACAGATCCAGAGGTCCCAGGTTCGATTCCCGGCGCTACCAGATTTTCTGATAAATAGTGGATCTGGAACAGGGTCCACTCAGCCTCGTGAGCATAATTGAGCTACTTCAATGGTAAAGTAGCGGCTCTGGTCTAGAAAACCGAGATTAACGTCCATTGGGATCCGTTGCGCTGACCACATGACACCCTCTATCCAAAGTTGACACTAACTTCGCCAACAAGCAACGGTCACTCGGTCAGTATAGTTCACTTGCGGACTAAGACTATGGAATTTTCTTATTCTTCCAACCTGAATACTTTACAGCAATCCATAAAATATTCTCAAACAGCTTGTGTGCAAATTTGTAAGCAAGTTCTCTGGCTCCCGCTCAAAAAAAAAAAAAAAAGCCCCAGCAGTACTCAAGGATAGAGATCAGTGAGGCGCTCCTGTGAACATGGCACTGAAAACTCAGGTTATGTAAAAGGCAGAGAATTTCATGACTGGTTCAGTGACTATTAGCCCATCAAGAATGATTCTGAGTTAGGTTTAGAGGCAGCACAAGTTTTCAGGCTTGTGTTTTGACATTCTGGGCAACACCACTGTATTGCAGAGGGTTGGCTTATCACAGTTTTGGAGAAATTACCATTATTTTCAGACAAAAGTGACTAGCAGAAGACTTAATCATCATATTTATATGTACTGCATATTACATAGCAAGGGGCTTCATAACTTTTTTCTTCATTCCTATTATAACCACCACCACCATCATCACTGTCACGGAGGATGGAACAAGCAGGAGATATTAAGTACACGCAGAATTGTGGCAGGAAAGATTGAAGGGAAAAGCCCACTTGGGGGAGACAGAGACAGATGGGAAACAATTTGAAAATGGATACAATGTAATAGGAGGGCACCAGGATAGCATAGTCAGTATAGTGACTGGTACAGGCTGGACAACCAAGGGGTTTGAGTTTAAGTCCCAGTAGGGTCAAGAATTTTCTCTTCTCCTTAATGTCCAAACTGGCTCTGGGATCCACCCAACCTCATATTCAGTGGGTACCAGGGGCTCTTTCCACAGGAGTAAAGTGGCCAGGGCATGAAGCTTACCACTCACCTCCAACTAGTGCAGAGGGCAAGAAAATGTGGATCTCTACATCCACTCTTCCATACACCTTCATGGCGTAGTGCTTAATTAGTTAAGCAAACGGACAACTTTTACAGTATGATAGGCTATCAGTGTGTGGAGTGAATTCTTCTGACTCTGTTCTCATGTCAGTGACTATGAAAATTACTGTTTTCGGGAATATGACACCATGCAGTCTGGAAGATAGTCACTAGTTATGTGCTCTATTCTCCTTAGTCCTGTGGAGCCAGGACAGCTTAGATAGTATAGTGACACCCTACAGGCTGGACAGCCAGGGCTTGATTCCCAGAAGAAGCAAGAGACTTTCTTTACTCCATAGCATCCAGAATGTCTCAGGGGCCCCAAACTTTTAACCAATGGGTACCAGGGTGGCTATTTCTTGGTGGTAAAGAGGCCTGGGTTTTAAAGCTGACCACTCTTCTTCATCCAGTGCCAAGGTCAAGACTGGTCGATCTATACCTCTACTCTCCCATACATCTTCATGGCATAATGCTAAATTAATTAAGCACAGGACAACTTCATCTTTACCTTTACTTCCTCGCTCCTACTGGTTTCCTCAGAGTCTCAATCCAAAATGTTGGTAACAGTCCTTCAGAGTACATTGTGTCACATCCCCAAAAACAATACTTTCACTGTGATCTGCACACAGCCTCAATAATGTAAGGGGAAATATCATGACCTGCCACTTCCCTTTCTAAGAAAAGGTAAGCTGAAGATATCATATCCACTGCATCTGTACTTCTCCACAGACTAATAACTCATAAGATAATCACAGAGATAAAATTATCAATACAGAACCGAACTATGTTTGTTATAGTAGCTCCTGTCACTTACACATATACAGAGTACTGAAGTCTTCACATACTTTCTTAACACATAATGCTATACAAATTCAAGAAATTATGTGACCATGGTAACAGGCATCTCTACTACAGACTAAACGTTGTGTGCAGTGTTCCGAGTAAAGGTACTTATGTATTATTGAGTGACACAAGCAAACTCTAAACCTTTAAAACAGTGTTTCTAATCTCATAAAAAAAATGAATTTACCAGGCTGCAGTCTGACAAAGGTTGAGAACCACTGTTTTAACACACTGGCACTGCCAACCATAGAAGTTCATTCCTCAAAACAAAGCCTATAACCTAACCTCAGAAAGTTTTTCCACAGTGATTTTTAAAAATGAAACCCAGAAACCTACCGCTGTGTACTTATCAGAGACAAATTCTAAGGTTAAGTTTTAGATATTGTTTTAACAAATAAACTTGGCCATGCCATAGCTCAAGTGGTTAGTCGCTGGCTTCCCACCATGGCAGCCCAGGTTCAAACCCGGGTCTGGTCAAGTGGGATTTGTGGTGGTCAAAGTGGGGCTGGGGTAGGTTTTCTCCAAGGACTTCGGTTTCCCCTGCCAATCTTCATTCCACCAAATTCTCCATCATCATAATCACCCAGGGCAGGTATAATATTCCAATTGGTGGCTGCCATGCTGAGTGGACCCAACTGGACTCCACCCCCCCACTATGCGAATTAAAAAGAAAAATAAACTTGTAAGACTAACAGCACTAACGTGATAGACACATGTTGGTACATTTTAAAGTTACTTCAGACATGTGTTACTATGTACACACCAAATAGAATATCAGTGATATTCCAAGAAGCCTCAACAACTACATACAGAATACGAGATTTGAGATTTGCAGTCATGATGATATAGACTGTAACCATGTGAGTTGTGACACTGTATAATCTGGTAGATGGTTACCAGCATTTCAAAAGAACAATGAAGAGGTCTCTTCTGGAGGCTATTTGTTATTTAGCTTATTCTTCGATCCCAGTGGTAGAGGCAACACGATCCTCCGACATGTTGGCTAACTTTCAACGGACTACATGGTGTTATATCCCAGAAGATAGAACTCCATAATCACTGCTGTGAGAACCTCTAAAGGTACACAGTATGTATTTAGATTGTGGTCTTCTGATTTATTACACTGTGTAATCTAGTGCATGGACCAACATTTTGGAGGATCCGGCTACCTCAATTTCTGCCCTTAAGATGGCGGCAACAAAGTCTTCCAAGTAGTTTGCAACCACTTACCAAACCACTTGATGGAATAAAAAAGACCAAAGTCTAAATTCACTGCTGTGAAACTTGAAATCTTGTATAAATATGGATGTTCACATTTGGTAACCAAGGAAGTTTACACTCAGGGTAAATTGTTAAACATATGCTACCCTGAGGTGTGAATGTCAAAAGGTTGGATTTATCAGACAACATCCTAAATACTCTTCCTCTTTTATGCCAGAGGGTTCTTTCATATCCAATTAATCTAGGAATACTGTACTTACTGGAGAGGTTATGTTACTTCAGATGAGGTATGGTATAATATATATGTAGAATTGCTATGGTACATTTCCAGCTTTGCCTAAAAGAGCATGGTAAAACAAACTTCAATCTGATATTAAAATGTTTTTCACTTACTTCAGCTTGCAAATTATGTCCCTGAGAGATTTTAGTATAAAACTCAAAACAGTCAACAACTTTCTAACTTATCTCAAATAATTTTTAGCATAAGCACCATCAACAAACTGTCAGTAAATGTGATTACTGTTTATTCCAGTCATGACCAAACAACATAAATTACTCTTCGTACATTACATTTGCTTTCTCTGAGTTATGTAGAGAAGCATTACTTAAATAAGGGAACATCACACTTATTCTTTAATATTACCTTAATGCACCAAAAAAATACATTAAATAACATCAACTTACCATTATCACAACAAATAATCCCATATAAAATACCGTCGCTTAATCCAAATCTGCTTATTACTTCTGAGACACTTGTTTACTTACTTGTAAAAAAATGTTTAACTTTCATATGATTGTTCAACAAAATTCACTTCACTGATAAGAACTTGTTCAGCCTGAGAACAAACCCACAGAAATCAGCTACCTTTGAACTATCCGCAACATTTATATGTAGTATGAACTCACATTTGGCTCAAACGTTTCTGCAGCCAAGTGGAGTATGCATTTAGGGTGAGGTCCAACTGTAATCATGTCCTGCCTCTAACTACCCACAACTTTTTATCACAAGGAAATGATAGCAACACAGGCTACATCAGAGGGGGGAGGGGACAGAAGGGGGAAAGGAGAGGAGATAGGAACTACACAATGTGGAAGGAATGAAACACATCTTAAACAAATACTAAAGCCAATGTTCTTTGCTCAAGGAATATCTCAGTAAACTGTAATATTTTGTGGTAAGGGTCTTATTTCCAGTATATGGTAACAAGAAAAACTGTATTTCAAATTCACTTACTCCTTTAAGTTTTCAACATTTGTGTAACTTTTCTTCCCAACTCGTTTACATCTGAACACAAAATTATGCATCAGAAATAACTTGGCAAAACATACAGGTATATTACATGCAATAAAATAAATATTACTTATAAATGCAAGAAATACCCAGTAAAACAATGGTGAAAGATAACACCAAACATATTTCATGAACAGCAGGGATACAATACCTTTCTGAAGAACATAACTCTATCCTGTGGGAGGCCATTTTTTTGTTACCTACAAAAATTTTGAGATGACTAAATTCAAGAACCTTAAATAATTAAAAGCAAATATTTAATCTACCTTAAATTAGCAAGGGGCTTGGGTAGCGCAGTAGGTATAGCAAGTGGCTATGGGCTGGACAACTGAGGGGTTGGAGTTCAAGTCCCAGTAGGGACAATAATTTTCTCTTCTCCAAATTGTCCAGACCCACCCTGGGGTCTACCCAACCTCCTATCCAATGTGTACCAGGAGCTCTTTCCTGGGGATAAAGCAACAGGGGCATGAAGCTGGCCACTCACCACCGAACAGTGCTGAAGTCAAGAAAATGTGGAGCTATACATCCACTCCCCAAATGTCTTCATTGTGTAGGGCTTAATTCGTTGAGCACAGGGACTTTACCTTTTTACCCTAAATCAGCAATGGTCACTATTTCAGACATTAAATTCAGTAATCTACCAATTTAATCAGTTACAATTAACTGCAGAAATACTCATTCATAATATACTGCTTTTAAGCAAATTTGAAATTATCATTTAAAGTTCCTCAAATTGTTCCACATCCTACAATCAAGATCCATGCAGTGCATTAATACCTGTCTACCTGTGAAACTAACATACACTGTTGGACAGATATAAAAAAGAAGAGGAAAAACTCAGTAGCCAGAATGTATGGTACACAACTGAAATAAAATGTCCTGTTCTGGGATTGTGGAATTTATTCCTTGGATACCCTACAAAACTAAAAAGATCTGCTTCAGTAACATCACCCTTCCTTCTACAGTCCTTTCACAACTTCCACCTCCTGCAGATGCCCATTCTCTTCCGTTATTTAACTCTAGCCTCCATTTCTTCAATTTCAGCTCTCACCACCTCCATTTGGACCTTCCCACTTTTTCTTCCTTCTGGATTACTTTCGTAATTCTCTTAGCCAACTCTGATTGATCCATTCTGAGCACCTGTCCCAAAGTGATTTGAAGCTAGCTCTTTCTAAGGGATCAAAACAGACACGTGTCCCCCCCCCCCCGCAACCTGCGACTGGTAACAGACCCAGTTTCCTAAGTTCTAGAATACCGGATGGATAGTCCAAAAACCTAGTAATTCTGAGTATTATACACCATCATCAGAACCCTTCAGAATCTACTTGCTGCACATCTTTTGAACAATTATGTTCAATTTCTTTACTTCTAGAGCGGTATGTGATGAAGATTATATGAGAGATGTGAGGTTCTCACATTGGTGACTATGATTACTGTCTCCTGGGATGACACACAATGCAGCCTGTAGTTACATTTCAGAAGAACCTGTTGCCTCCATCTTCCAGGTAAAATACTTCAACAGAATTCTCAAATTGCCTTATGAAACAATTTCAAGGCTATCACTGCTACCTCCCAGCTCAGTTTATGAAGTCAGACATTGTTTCAGAATCCCATTCTCTTGGTAATTATTCACTTTCATTATAACACCCACAGCTGTACAGTATTGTAACATAATGGCTGAAAGTTGGGATATCACAGCGAGAGTTGGCTGTTGCTTACATAAATAGTTTAGGGAAGTTTCTACATAAGTAAACAAAATTACTAAATTCATATCAAATTAACTAATGACATGAAAGAAACTCAACCAATCTGCAGGAATGATTCCAGGGAAGAAAAATTGAATATTCATTAGTTCAACCACTAAACTAAATCTACATAAAAGTTCTGGAACATATATAATTTCTTACAATAAATGTGTTATGTTCTAAATCAAAATTCACTAACTACAGAAAAATAATGTTTATATTGGACTCTGGCTGGAGCCAGAAAAAATATGGCCAATAAACAGGGATATTACTGTACAACTATACACTTGTACTTTCCATTTCACAACTGCAATCAAGAACTGTTAATGTAACTAATTGGGCTAAATGAAAAAAGGTTCTCAGTTATCTGGAACAGCTTTGAATGTAAAAGAAAAACAGGAAACTGGTCTGATACTATAAGAGAATAGGTATACTAGGCACATATACTCTTCTAAACTTTCTTGTTTAGACAGAATATGAATTACAAAGGCCAGGAGGGTGTTTCACAATACCTAAATGGAAAGAGAAGGAAATAAGTTCAGTAAAGAAATGCAGATCAGTTATGAAATCTGTCTGCATACATCCTAGAGAAACAACTGCTGAAAAATAAAACACTGAAGTCATTACAAGAAACATATTTCAGAGGATACATGCAGACATTACCATAAATAAAAACACTTTTTAAATAACAAACTGTTTATTATCTCTTAATAGAGCTCAGCTAAATTACAGAGTATTAATAAACAGTTTAATACAATCTCTGAGGCGGACCCATTGTAGACTTAACGTGCAATGAACGCACATTCTGCCAATGTTTCTTAAGTAGAGACACCAGGAAATTCACTGAGAGGTGAACATTCTGCACCAACTCATCTTCCGTCATACCCACGTGTCCAACGGCAACAGAGAGACACAGGACCTGCATAATAATTTGTGTTATTAACACATGATGCTATTTATTAAAACATTTCATAAAGTATTTAATCTGGATAACATGTAATTCTTATCAGAAACAGGAAGAAACAGAGCAACCCCTCTTCCTTCCCGAATTTGTATATATATGAATGTAAAATTACCACTGGTGGGCTCATTACATTGTAATGTAGCTTCATGTTCCATACATTGTTATTAAATTGAGTTGCCATGCACCTGTCGGCTTCTCAAGGACTCTCCTCCATGGAGGGTAGAACTGGCAAAATACTTTTAGGTTAAGAAATAGGGCCTATGTGATAGTTTTTTTGGTTGACACACTGTAGGCTGATAGGTGGGCACCAAAATCTCATTAACATACTGCCTCAATCTTCAGGTAGAAAACTCTGATCTAACAGAGAGGAGGCTCTTCACTACTACCAAATGTGATCCTGCTTAGATCAGTTGGAAGAGTGTGAAGATCTCATTGTGTGTTCCTCCATCCACAACAGTACAACAAAATCTGAGGAACTAAGATAACTCGAAAGAAAATCAGAACTAAATTCACATTCTATTAGGAACCTCCTCTGTGGTCTAGTGGTCAAGAGTTCCTGGCTACAGATCCTGAGTTCCAGATTCGATTCCCAGTGCTACCAGATTTTCTGAGTAGTGGGTCTGGAACAGGGTCCACTAAGCTTCATGAGGATACTTGAGGAGCTATTTCAAGGAAACAATTGCTCCAGTCTAGAAACCCAAGACTGATGGTCGTGGGGATCCGATGCACTGACCACACAATACCCTCTATCTGCTAAAGTTGGTACTAACTTCACTGACAAGAAGCTGTCACTCAGTCAGTACAGTTCACTTGCAGACTAAAACCATGGAGTTTTATTGTTTAGGAATGACTTTAAGAGGGGGTTACCAGCCTAGCGGTACTTTCCAGGAGCAGCAGGAGCCTATACACTTTCCTATGGAAATGGGAATGAAAATCATGAATTAGGTACAGGTTATTTCGTACATAAGAAAATCGTATCAGCAGTTAAGAGGGTAGAATTCGTTAGTGATAGGATATCATATATAATACTAAAAGGTCACTAGTGTGATATCATTGTTATGAATGTTCATGCTCCAACAGATGATAAAATTGATGACATAAAGGATAGATTCTATGAAGAACTAGAACATGTATTTGATAAATTCCCAAAGTACCCTTTGCAAATTCTGTTAGGAAATTTCAATGCCAAAGTAGGGAGGGAAGACATTTTCAAACCAACAACTGGGAATGAGAGTTTGCATGAAATTAGTGAGTTAGAGTTATAAACTTTGCCACATCAAAAAATCTTACTGTCAAAAGTACAATGTTCCCACATTGTAACATCGATAAATTTACTTGGACATCTCCTGATGGGAAAATACACAATAAAATAGACCACATTTTGATAGACAGGCGACGGAACTCAGGTATACTTGATGTCCGATCATTCGGGGCAGCAGATTGTGATACTGACCACTACCTGGTGGTGTTGGCAAAGGTTAGGGAAAGACTGGCAGTAAGCAAATAAACAACACACACAGCTCATATGGAGAGGTTCAATCTCAAGAAATTAAATGAGGTAGAGGGTAAAGAGCAGTATCGTGTTGAAATCTCAAATACGTTCACGGCTTTGGAAAACTTGGACACTGAGGTGGATGTTAATAAAACTTAGGAAACTATCAGAGAGAATATAAAAATGTCTCCCAAAGAGAGTCTATGTCATTACGAACTGAAGAAGCACAAGCCATGGTTCGATGAAGGATGCTCAAAATTATTAGATCACAGAAAGCAGGCCAAATTGTAATGGTTACAGGATCCAAGTGAGTTAAATGGGGATAATCTGAACAATATAAGATGTGAAACCAGCAGGCATTTCAGGAACAAAAAGACGGAATATCTGAAAGACAAAATTGATGAGCTTGCAATGAACAGTAAGAACAAGATTAGAGACCTGTATAGAGGAATAAATGACTTTAAGAGGGGTTACCAAGCTAGCAGTAACTTAGTGAAGGATGAGAATCGCGATCTGCTTGCAGATTCCCACAACATTTTGAATAAGTGGAGGAACTACTTCTCTCAGTTATTGAATGTACATAGGGTCAGTGATGTTTGGCAGACAGAAATCCATAGAGCTGAGCCGTTAATACCTGATCCTAGCCCTGTTGAGGTTGAAGGTGCTATTGCAAAATTGAAACGGTATAAATCACTGGGTAGTGATCAAATTCCGGCAGAACTTATTCAAGCAAGAGGCGAAATATTACGTTCTAAGATCCACAATCTAGTTACTTCTATTTGGCATAAGGAAATATCGCCTGATCAGTGGAAGGGGTCTATTATTGTACCAGTTCACATGAAGGGTGACAAAACTGACTAGTAATTATCGGGGGATAGCACTACTATCAACTTCATACAAAATTTTGTCCAATATTTTTCTCTCAAGGTTAAGTCCATATATAGATGAGATTATTTGGGATGATTAGTGTGGGTTTCGACATAACAGATCAGATCTTTTGCATCTGTCTGATATTGGAGGAAAAATGGGAGTATAATAAGACAGTACATCAGCTATTCATAAGACTTCAAGAAAGCCTATGATTTAGTTAGGAGGTAAGTATTGTACAATATTCTGAGAAGAAAGCAGTCTTCTGGGATTTGGCACCTTGTATATGTGGTGTTAACCGACGTTCCTCCGAAATGTCGGTTAACACCACAAATACACGGTGCCAAATCCCAGAAGACTTCTTTCTTCATAGTCACCGCCGTGAAAGCCTCAAATCTTACACAATATTCTGAGAGTTTGGGATACCCATGAAACTAGTTAGGTTGATTAAAATGTGTTTAAACAAAACATATAGCAAAGTCCATGTAGGTAAACATTTGTGTGTTAAATTTCCTATCCAGAATGGTCTAAAACAAGGAGATGCTTTATCAACACTCCTTTTCAACTTTGCCTTAGGATATGGCATTAGGAAGGTCCAGGAAAACCAGGTGGGACTGAAATTAAACGAAACACATACCTGTTGGCCTATGCTGATGATGTGAAATCTACTGGGTGATAATATAGACACCATAAAGAAAAACACACAAACTTTAATTGGCACAAGTAAAGAGGCTGGTCTAGAAGTAAACACAGAGAAAACTTATGTTGCTGTCTCATCACCAAAATACAGGGCAAAATCTTGACATAAAGATAGGAAACACATGTTCTGAAAATGTGGCACAGTTCAGATATTTGGGAACGATAACTGATCAAAACCTGATTCAGGAGGAAATTAAAGAGGAGATTGAACTCGGGTAATGCTTGCTACCATTCGGTCCAGAACCTTTTGTCTTCTTGGTCTGCTGTCCAAAACATAAATATTAGAATATACAAAACTATAATTTTGCTTGTGGTTCTGTATGGGTGTGAATCTTGGTCTCTGACATTAAGGGAGAACACAGACTGAGGGTGTTTGAGAACAGGGTGTTGAGGAGAATATCTGGACCAAAGTGAGAGGAGGTTGGAGAAAACTGCATAATAAGGAGCTTCATAACTTGTACTCTTCTCCAAGCATAATTAGAATGATCAAGTCAAGGAGGCTGAGGTGGGCAAGGCATGTAACCCGAATGGGGGAGATGAGGAATGTGTATAGGATATTGGTGGGCAAGCCAGAAGGAAAGACACCACTGGGAAGACCAAGGCGTAGGTGGGTGGACAATATTAAAACGAATTTTAAGATAGGATGGGATGGTATGGATTGGATTGATCTGTCTCAGGATAGGGACCAGTGGAGGGTTCTTGTGAACACGGTAATGAACCTTCGTGTTCCATAAAATGCTGGGATATTCTTGAGTAGCTGCAGAATTGGTGGATACTCCTGAAGGGCTGAGCTCTATGAGTAGGCAAGTACTAAATTATACTTTTAACCCTTCAGTGCCAGGCTCCGTACCTGGCTTGCCAGCGGCTTCTGTCACATGCCACCGAGCTCCGTACCCAGTACACATATTGCAGCTCTAAGTTTCAGCTCATATTTTTAACCACTGTTTTTCATGTAAAGTAATCCTTTTGGTACAAAATTAAAGATGAGATTTCGGGCTATAATTTCATACATTCATTGTGCCACTTTGAACTTCCTGCCGGAGTTGTAATACATTTGAATTCTTTGAAAAAGTTTTCTATTTCAACACTTAGTGTGCTTGCTACCATACAAACCTACTTCTGCCTATGGGAATTCTTATGAACTAAATATGTTAGATTGATACTGTGTGCTATCCTCTATGCTGACTGAATGAAAAGTTGATTCGCTTGAGGCATGTTCTGAACTGTGCTGCTTCAACATTGGTATTTGTTACGAGAAGACACGCACAGAATCTTCAACTTTGAGACGTGATGTTGACTCTTTAAGTGTTATGACTGCTACATAGCAAACGATAAAAGATTTCACTATATGAATGAAAACTACTGTATTTCCCCTTTGTTCTATAAATACGCATCATGCAGTCTGGTTAGCCAAGGCCAGCCACAAGGAATGACGTGGCCAGCTGTTTTGTGTCATGACCAGTGGAGAATATGTTTACTTCAAACCGAATCAGAACAAAGTTTTTTTCACATTCAGAAATAGACACTGAAAATAGATGTTTGTGCTTTTCTTGATTCTGTGGTAAATGACAGAATCAAGAATAGCACAAAAATCCACTGGGAGAAAATGCAAAACTACAAGGGACAAAAAGAAAATTTCTGAATGTGTTAAGATGTAGGAATAACACAAGGAAAAGAATAGATCAACCGTCAGTCAGAATTCAGTTAACTGATGGACTCTCTGTGAAACATGCTTATGCTGTAGAACACAAAGTGCCAGGTAGACATTCGTCAGACAAAACAGTGCCCCATCTAAGAGAAAGAAATTTTATAAGCAAGATTCCACCAACTGTGTAGAAATCATAACCAAACAGCATGTTGTGCCTCAAAAACTATGTACTGGTGTGACACGTGACCATGTATAGAATGTTTTCACATTTTACACACCCACCTGAACTTCTAAGGTAATATGATATTATCATTCAAAATTTGTATAGGCTTACTGTGCCAAAAAATAATTTTAAAGCAGTGTGGATCAATATACCAGTTCTATATACATTTCTGAATGTAGTGTGAAAATTAGAAAAACAAAACTCCAGTTTTTCCCAATTTATTACACTTTTAAGTCAAATGTTGCACTCTCCAACTTACGTACTTAAATATCCTCCAGCATAGGAGTTGAGTAGGAATTTAAAGGCCCATCGGTGGTGAAGGGTTAACACACTTATCTTAAATAAAAAAGTCACGTGATCCATTCTAAAATTATATATCACATATGCTCCCATGTACAAGCAGCCTGCAGCCTGCACCATGCACCAAATAAAACGCCCTCCCCCCACAAAAAAAAAAACCTTACATACATACAAAACATATAAAGAACAGTAAACAGACTGAACCAAATTAAACCATACCTTCTTCATTTGGAATTTTATTGTGGCTTTTACTTCATCTATCTTTGCCATCATTGCCTCCTGATGTGAGAGAAGGCCAGGAAATTTTCCAGCTTTATTTAGACCAGGGCCCAAAAGACGAGGGATCTGCTTGATCAAAGCTTCACTTGCCAGAAATGCATCATATTTCTTTGCTGTAACACAGGGAAACATCACAACAGTTTTGTCACAAAAAAATACACATTACCCAAGAAGAGGTCAAAGCCACCCAAAATAAAGGAAACTGCCTCACCACATAACCATAAAGGGAGGCTCAAAACAAGCTCAAGCTCTTACTCTTCATCTTAAACACATCAATTCCAACAAGCTTAGGTACAAGGGTAAGTCAATAAGTAAGTTACAAATGGATATAGAACTTAAACAAGTAAGAGTACCGATTTGAAAAATGCTTTTATTTCTCAACATAATCTCCTCATACATTGAGGCACTTGTCCCATCATTTCACAAGCCCCTGAAAACCAGCAGTATAAAATTCTTTGGGCTGCTGTTGGAACCAGGCAGTGACTTCCCTTTTTACAGCTTCATCGTTGGGAAAATGATCAGCCAAATGATAATGTTTATGAGGGCCGAACAAATGGAAGTCACTTGAAGCAAGGTCGGGACTATATGGATGCTCGAAGTCTTCCCACTTGAAGTTTTGCAGCATCTCATTTGTCGTTTGCAGTATAGGGATGCTCGTCATGCAAGAGCAACACGCCTTTGGTGAGGATTGTTTTAAGTTCTATATCCGTAACTTACTTATTGACTTACCTATGTATATGCTGGTGCCACACCCTATCACTGGAAAGGGGTTTTGCTGTTTATGCTTACACTATGACGAAGTCAACAATTTGTTCCTCTGAGAGCACTTCAGCAAGCAGTTCTTTCTTAGATACTACATGCAGCTTGCACACATCGTTTCTTTATGGTAAACTGCTCTAACTGCTTGCATACTGTAAAATATCACTGGGATGATGCGTGAGGAAGCTACAAAGGTGCTGGGAGTAAGAGCTAAGACTGGTGTTCAAAATCAAAACATGGGACCTTTTGGGTACCAGGCTACTATGCTAACCACTATACTCCAGGATAAGGATAAATTCTGAAACACCATGCACATCAAAACAGTACCATCTTCTGGTATGTGACACCATGGTATAAGCTTTTCACAGCAATGTACTGCCTCCATCTTCAAGAACAAAGAGGATGCCAAGTATTTAACCTGCAAAAAGCAGAGCTCTGATGCAAGGTACTAAGTTTATCTGGAACATGAGTGAATGTCTAATGGACTGCATGTTTACCATCCCACAAAATAGTATTTTTAACATGGCCTGCTATGGGAACCTCAACCCTCATATCAAATGACGTTTTTTAATAGGATACAAAAATTTATACTATTCATACCAAGTTTCTTAACTGCTTTCTTGTTCTTGTTCAGCTTCTTCAGGGCTTCCACGTCCATGTATGGCACATTGTTAGCCTTGGCTTCATCACAATGCTGCTGGTCACCAAGAACACACACTTGCATTTTGGGTCGTGGAATATGTTTCAACCTAATAAACAAACAGGATTATTGACACAATTACCACCACAAAACTAAAGCTGTACCCAGAATATTTTCAGGGATAAATGTACACATCTATCCATCTTTTGTACTCCACACTATTTGTCCAAATATGTAACACAATACACCTGAGAAGGATTCTGTTTCACTTACAGTCATTAGACATTACAGATCACTTCAATTTGTCCACCCCTCCTGCCATTACCAAACCTGATTTTCATTATGGTTACTAGCCAATACACAAGTCATTCACTTACCTTGTACAACTAGTCACTGTTTGTAGATACAGACAATAAATCCTTAATATACAGCCATGATATATTCTGCCACACTCACTGCGCAATGAAGTTTTATTTACGAAAATGGAAATATTCAAAATTATTAATCATGCTCAGCAGAAATATATACTGTGGCTTCACTCTGTTACTCTGCACAAAATGAAGTAAGAGTACCCTCACAGATCTTACAAAATAACCTGTCACACATGAACACAACAGAATGTAATCAATAATTATTTCACATGGTTCAAAAATGTTCTTTCTTATCAGATACACTGCTTATAACACCAAAACATACTGTTATATGTACATTGCTTACGCAATGCTCGCCCCACACAGTACAACAAGCAACACTGTAACAGGGTTATGCATTCCACTTCTAGGCATCAACTTGGTAAACACACTTCCACGCATCTCCAATGATAACACCTTCCCCTCCACAATAGTGCTTAGCTATCATGTGACGTTTTCTGTCGTCAGCACCAAAAATTTATAGGAGACAACAAGGGTTGTATGCGGGCAATCATAAGCTGGAGGAGTAACAGATGGCCTGCACTTCTTAAGTTCCAAGGGAACAGCAGTATGGACCGAAGAATTAGAAGACTTAGTATTTGAGATTACATGCCCTGTAGTACATCAATATCAGAAGTGTGTAATTTAGTGACACTTTTATAGTTCCTGTGTCATAAATCCTTCGCCATGAAACCGATAGTGAAGAATAGTGGAAACAGACCAATAGTGTGGAGTCATTATAAAATGTGTAAATCAGCAATATTGTAATAATTACTTGCAGTTACAACCTGTAACCATTCAATAAATCCATTCAACAATCCGAGCCACATCTTTGGTCACTAATACATGTAACAATACCCCCCACCCCACCCCGTTTCCAACTGCTCGTCTCTCATTTCACATTATAAGCTTCCACAGACAAGGACAGCAATGAAGTGCTCAACAGCAATGTAGGATGAGTGATGCTAGAGAATGACATTAATTTCCAAACCCAACATGAGCTGCACTAGCACTGGCTAATAACTTACTTACTTATGGAGCTAAGCCCTTCTGGAGGAGCCACCAATTCTGCAGCTACTCACAAATTTCCCAGCATTTTATACAACCCGAAGGTTCATTACCGTGTTCACAAGAGCCCTCCACTGGTCCTTATCCTGAGCCAGATCAATTCAGTCCATACCACCCCCCCCCCACCTCTCTCTCTCTCTAAGATCCATTTTAATATTGTCCACCCACTTACGCCTTGGTCTTCCCAGTGGTCTCTTTCCTTCCAGCTTTCCCACCAATATCCTACACACATTCCTTGTCTCCCTCATCCATGCCTCATGCCCTGCCAACCTAATCCTCCTTGGCTTGATCATTCTAATTATACTTGGAGAAGAACTGGCTAATAACAATGTGAAAATAAATGCACTTATAAAAGCCTGAGGGCCTAAAAGGAAGTGGGTGCATGTCTCAAACTCCAACATATGAATGGGATGTCAAAAGATGTACACATGGCAGCGATTAAGTCTCCAACAGCAGCTCTAATTCTACATTCAAATAAACGTCTAATTTCAGCACGTCACCAAGCAAGAAAAAATAAACATTTTCTGGTCTTTGTTATAAATATAACAATCTAACATGTGCTCTCAGTAATACATTGCAACACTTCTACTTCAGATAATACATGCAAATTTCATCACTGAGCAACTGATAAGATACTGATTAACGTACAAGAGTAACAACTAAATTACTTACTCGCCTGTGCTATGAAACTCCTAAGACTATTTTAACGGTAGTGTAACCACTACCTCCCCAGTTATTTTAAGACCCTGGGTGCAGGTCCGCCAGGTGAAGCCCAGCTTCCTGACGTGAGGTGCCTTTAAAGCATTACAAATTTTATCTTCAAAAGCATCTCATAATCAGGTAGTAACATACTTGACTGTGCCCGAGAAACGCTTGTCTTTTTGGGGATCATAGTTCTTCAAGCCGATCTGGATTTCGACAGTCTCCAAAAACCCTCTCTTCTTCTGTCGAGAATGCTTCAAAACAGCACCTATACACTCATAGAGTGTATCACGAGACACCTTAGAACTGAAAATTAAAACAGACAAAGAGTTTCATGGTTAATAAGAGGACTCGAAATACGCTGTACAATGAAAACCTTACGAAAACGTGGCAAGAATACGTCGCACTGAAATAGAAGTTTTCAACCAGTTTTAAAAGCAAGATGTGGAAAAATTATTTAGTCTGACAAACATCAAAACATATAACCCAAGCAGGGCTAATCTGATTACTGATGCTGCAGATATCACGCTATTAAAACAATACCTCATATTCAGCGAACCCGCAAAACACACACAAGTATAATCTCAGATCGGGAAACGGAACTGCAAACATAATAGTGTATCTCAATCGCTGTAGATGACGCTTGCGCATGTTTCCCCTCCACCTATCCCACAAGGGGGGGGGGGTCAGCTACTTATCACAGTTGCAGGTTGCAGGTTGCAGATGGAAACGGAAAAGAGAAACAAATGAACCTCGCTCCACATGGTAGCCAACAATTGTACAGAAAATAGCACTAAATGCAACAAAAATCAGGATTGAATTTGGGATTGATAACTCAAATAGTAGATGGAGAGCACGTTTCAATTTATGAACGGGACACTAAAAAGCAGCTTAAACCATATATTTTCTATGGTGTAGTTTATAAAACACTACGCTTAGGATTGGATACATTGTTTTACTTTCCTCTGTATGGATTTTCTATGCTCGTCTTTGAGGATTATGATGTGGGGACTTGGTGTTGTCTTCAGTTGGTTCAATTTTTATTAGTTATCAAAACGAATTTGATCGGTTATTAGTGCAGAAATTGGTGTAAGGTCTGGTTGTAACCAGGAACAATTTTGGTTACTTTTTAGAGAATCATGAGGTTCTGCTATAGTTACCTCAATTACACGTGTTCCAAGTTGGAGTACTGTGGGCAGTATTTCATAAAGAAAATACAAGTATCATGAAATTTGAGCAAGTATTGTGGCCAAACAATGCAGCAAGGCAATGACATGAAGAATAAAAGTTCAGTTCAATCAAATCTGACCAATTCTGTGCAGAACACTATAAAAGAGAAACTGGATGACATTGTTAGTGCCGAAGTAGATAACGCTGGTGAAATTACGCCACAGACATGGAAAATAGTAGCTCACAATATAACGAAGTCTGTGAAGTCTTCACCTGCAATGACATCTTTGTTACAGAATATTCGGGGTGCGCTTTATTCAACTGTTGAAAACGTCATGACAAACACTGAAAATGACTCTATGTCAGACAACCCGAAAGCTCAATCAGTATTGCATAGACATGTAACTGACGAAGTAACATGTCACGGAAATTGTAATATGGTTCAATGTGAACAGTTGGCTATAGAGACATCAAAGCACATGCCTTTAAAAGTCAGGAGGCAAGCACTTAATATACTTCTCCAGTCTGTGATGTCAGAAGTTACAGCTAACGTTAATTGGGTCCAGATACGTTGCAATATAAGAGAAAATTTGTGTGAAAAAGATAATGAAGTTTTCAGTTTGAGTTTGAAGGTTCATGCTAAATTATTGCAGTCATCTTCACAGGCTTGCATAAAGGAAGGTTTTATAAATCTTGTTGAAGGAATGTATTTGTATTATGTTGATACAAGTAATTGCAGTTCCCTCCCCAACTTCAAAAATGGAATAGATGTAAGTGATCCCATTCATGGCCATGTTATTCAGATCTCCCACCTGATACTTGAAGCAGTGAAAGAAATGCCAAAAAACTGGTTGCGATATGGTGAGAGACGTGTTGAAGACATAGTTGGAGTGTTTGTTAATCTACTTGCTATGCATACTGATGACAGTAGGTTTAATTTGCCCAAAGACATATTATTTCCATTCCATATTCTGTCTGTCTTGGATCCAAAGGCAAAGTGGTGTACGCAGTGGTTACATGCTGCCTTTGGCCAACATTTATTTCTTAACACACTATCACAAAATATGGCCTTAGTCACTTTCCTTGTTGAAGAAATACTTTCTTACTTGGAAACATATCAGAATGGTCACCCAGGAGATATGCCTGAAAACATTATACCAGGCTGTATTGTGAAATATGCAACTTTTACACACACGTTGTCAGTTTTAAGCCAAGTTGTTTGCTTTGAGAAAGGACGGCAGTTTTTTCCAGTTGTTACAAAGACCACATCTGAACTAGTTTCATTAGAGGTCATGCTTGTTAGAATGATTATGTTCTTGAACTCAGGAAGTAGCTACAAAAGCACAGTTTGTATGACACCATCTGGATTTGAAGTTATCTTGGCATTTGTTAAGAAACTTTTGCAAATTGGAGAAGAAATAAATGAAAACTTAATGAAAACAATAATTGAACCAATTAAGTACAGAAGCATGCAGCCAATGAAATGTAATAATATACCTTGTCACACTATGAAGATACTGCTTCATTTGGCAAGTAGCAGCACTAAAATTTCCTGTCTTCTAGGAAGCAGACAGAAACATAAGCTATCCATTTCAAAACTCAATAGAAATCAGAATACTACAAACACATCAGCTGTTGGAATGAGGAAGACCAGACAAATGAACATTTCATTAGAGAGACAGTTTTCAGCTAGATCTGTTCGAATTCCAAGCATTGGTAACACTGATGTGTCTAGTCCAGCAAAATTAATTGAGCATATTACAACCATTCTCATGAAACACCAAGATTTGTCAAATGTGGATGAACTTTTGTCACTGGTTGAAATGTGTGGCAAACTTTTTAGGATACATGAGGGTTTGTCTATGCTGGATGCTATGAATTCACAATTAATATCAGCCGTTATCGTTTTATACAAACAGTTGTCCTCCGAGATTGAGTCAAGCAGATATTGTTCAGCCCATGAATACCCCTTAAAAATTAAAGCTGGTAACCCACCACATGCTGTCTATATGTAAGTAACATCTGTAGTGTTTATCATGACCCATTTTGAAAGGTGTATATGTTGTAGATTTCCTTATTATCTGCACTCCATAAAATATAATTTGGAGCTGTTATTTGGAAGTCAGGGGCTTAATCTGTGACAAATCTGGCTGGATTTGACATCAGAGAAAACAAGAAGACTAAAACAATAAAGTTTGGTTACTACCATCACACTCATTTCAATGCTGTGTTTCATTCTTGCAGTTGTTTGTGTCAGGTTGGATAATCATTCATGTTAATTTAAGAATAAATAAGAATAATCACCTAACAGAAGTTGACTTGTACCCTATAGAGAAATTAAATAAATGCTGAATGATGCATGTTTCATAACAACTGTGTGTTAAGCAGCTCATCCATTATCATTAAAACAATGTGCATTCCGCTGGATATGCAGCTCATGTGGGAAGAATGTGTATTGAATTTTTATGGGGAAATCTTTTGGAAAGCAAAAGGACTGGATATGCATCTCCACTTTTCTCTGTATCTTATTCCTAACATTGTGCTTTATTGATTAATACTAGGTCATCGTTACCTTTGCCTTTTCACACTTAGGAGGTATCTGTTTGGATTCTAGCGGAAACTGAGCTGATGCAGGAAAATGATCATCTCACATCTATTCATCTTTCATTAACATAGTAGCATATTCAGTGCTTCATAACCTCATCATATATATTGCAACATAAAATATGTAACAGATTTGACCCTTCACAGGTCATTGGTAAGCTTCCTGACTGAAGTTGCATCTACACCTTGTGGTCTCTATGCACTGGCTCAAGAGGATTCTGTCCTTCAGGACTTGCTCACAACTCTTTTTCAGTATTCATATGTTCCATGGGAGCATCCAGCTTTCAGGCATGTAGTTTCCCTCATCACTGCTGTCTGGCAGGGTGCATCTGTATTGGCTGAAGAAAGTTACAGAATTCTGACTAGACCCCTGTGCAATCTGTGGAGTGAATTTGAGGATCCCCTGGCTTTGATGAGTGGTTCAGAGCGGAAGCAAATTGAGGCCACACAGCATTTCATAAATGTTATATACACGTTCATTCCAAATCTTCAAGGTGAACTCCAAAGCTTTCTTCTGCATATATTTGCACACACAAACAGCATGCAAATGCACCAATTCATGCATGCTATGTGTGTTCTTCCCTTAATGTTCATGTAACCCCCACACAACTGTGCATACTGTATTCATATCTGTACCTGTCTGTGTATCTCTCTCTCTCTCCTTGCAAGAACATACTTATTCAACTTAGATATGCAAGAACAAAAACACTTTAAATTTATCATAATAGAAAGTTTTGTTGAATGGACAAGAGTATTCTTTTGTGTGTGTGCATCTTGTATAATATTGCACTGGCTATATTTTTAAGAAACTTTAGTATTATTTGTATGTACTTTATCTATATTAATGTATTAAATCTTATAATAAATTCTGTATTAACTGACATTCTTGCACCAAAATTTCTTTTAAAATGAATGGTATAATTGAAAAAATAATTTGCCAGACATAGGTCACTTGATATAAAATTACACTTTACAGCATTTAATTATGGCAGTGAAATGAGGATTTTAAGCCAGAAAAAATCCCAAGAATTAGGGATTGCACAAATTCATTTTCTTGAGTCCACTGCTAGGCTTCACTAGCTTAGGCCACCAAAGAAATTCTTATTTCAGAGAAAGATTGAAAGTTACAAATACAGTTGAAGTGATACCAGGATACAAACAGGATTTGAAATATTATTTGGAAATACAATGGAACGTCGCTTAACGAGCATAATTCGTTCCCAAATCTTACTTGTAATGTGAAACACTCGTTAAGCGAAACAATTTTTCCCATATAAATTAATGTAAAATACGATAATGCATTCCATGTCAAAAAATACTCAAAAAATTTTATGTATAAAGTTTATTCAAAGAAAATTATTAAATTTGTAGCAAGCATAGCCACTGCCTTATTAGGGTGATGCTTTTCAATGTACGATGCAACAGTTTCCCATGCTTTCAGCATTTCTCTTATTACGCCAGAAGATTGTTGCTTTGCTGTTACCTCCTCCTCCTCTGACAAACTCTCCTCCACAGCTTCTTGCTGTGAAACACAATGCAACTCCAAATCATTGATGTAGACTGATTGTATGTGCATGCTAGATCAGCCACACCCACACCTCATTCTCACTTTTCAGTGATTTTACGTTTCATTTCTACGGTTATTTCTATTCTCTTATGGCTGTTGTTTTGCGGCTTTTTCTTCGGAGACATTTTTGCAGTGGTTATTAAACTTTGCACAAAAAAAATCACAAATATGTCTGAACACAAGTTTGGAAAAATGTGTGATCACAAGCGACACTAAGATGCTAGCAGAACGAGTGCTAAACACAGACTGATGTAGCAAGCGCACAATCCGGGACTTCCTCTCTCGTCACTCGTTATGCGAAATGTCGCCCATTAAGCGAGTCATTTGTTTACAATTTGTTTTGCTTGTTATGTGAATTACTCATTATGAGAGGTGCTCGTTAAGCAAGGTTCCACTGTAATGGAAAAAAGACTGCCCTTCACAGTAGTGATTCCATTATTAACCAAGAGGACCAACTTGGGATTTATAGCAACATACTTTAACAACCTAACCCTACAGAGTGGATGATGCTGACAATGAAAAATTTCCAAAGAAACAGTACCATTAATGTTCATATACAACATTTTAGGTTGTCATGCCAATGAAGATTCATATTGATCTGGGTTATGACAGCATGTAGTCTGATAGGTGAGTACCAATGCTTTGAAGGAACTTGCAGCCTCCATCTTCAGAGTAGATTGAAGTAATATATTTCTTTGAAGCACTGGTACCCACCTACCAGACAGCATAGTATTGTAACCCAGACAACCACAATGTGAATAGCAATGTTCATGAATAGTGCAAAAAACTTTTTTTTTTTCAGGAATTATGGCTCTTCTTTCAGAGCCCGATAGCAGCAGTGAAGGCACTTTAGTGGACACTGATATGGCCCCCAGAACCTTAGCAGAGCTACTGACATTTGACAGTACTGTAGAGCCATGGCATTACATTAGCTTATTAACACTGAGAGCCCTGACAACAAATATGGATGTCTGCTTATATCTTAACAGCACTATTAAATATCAGGCATGGATGTTAATTTTCTGCTATATTATGAAGTTGGTAGAAAGACTTTTGCTGTATGTAACACAAATGTTATGGGAGACCAGGCCAGAGACATGACTTGATTGTGTTCCCTGTAAGAAGTCCAAATGGGGATATTTGAAACATTCTAATTTATTTTCCTTAATATCATATTTCCCAGTGTATAAAATACTAGAATAAGAAAGAAGTCAAGAAATATTTTTTTATGGAAGTAAGGTGGCTGGTTAACAGAGGTTCTAATATTTTCCCTGTTCTCAATGTTACCTCCTGGTGTATGAGACACACTGCAATTTTAAGGCCATCTCTAGTTGAAAATAGTACATATTGAAAAAATATGTTAATTCAGAAATTTCGAAACAATCTTCACATTATCATAAAATTGTCCCACAGATATGATACATTTGTTGACCAAGAGAGAAAAATTTCAATTTCCATTTGGTAACATGTAACAGGCATCAAATCAGTTGTCACCCAGATGGTTGCCCCCACACTACCAAAGTATATGGTAATGGCTTAAGTGTTCTTGATTACCAGAATTGCTGCACATGTAATTAAACCTGGTACTGAAGTTGGTGATGAAACTGCATTATGCACAGTAAGTTGACTGTATTACATTACATGGTATGAAGTAATACCTATGGTTTTTTAACTAAAAAGGTAAAATGGCCCATATGCATTACTGATTAAGCACCATACCATGGAGGTATATCTTCATGCCCTGGACACTTAACACCCAGTACTCATTGAGTAGAGGGGTGAGTGGCCCCAGAGCCCATCTGGTAACTGTGGAGAAGAACATCTCTTACCTCTGCAAGGAGTTGAACCCAGATTCCTTGGCCATCAGACCTGTAGCCCATCACTATACCAACCAATATGAGTTAGAGAAACAAATATGCTTCAGATATATCAAGTTGGAAATGCTAATCTTCAGAAGCTAAATCATTCTATTATACTAAAATTTCTGACCCCCTTATCATAAAAATAAAATGAATGCTTTTGTACATAACCTATAATCTGATCTCATACCATTTCTGCCTAGGTTATACTAGCATCTTCTTCCTTAGAGGCTCTTAGTATTTTTAGACTTGAAAATATTTAAAGAAAATATTTAAAGTTTCTCTGAAATGTAAATTGCTGAAAGAAAATCATATGAAAGTAAGTATGTGATGGTTTTCCAAAATTTTCAGTTCCCCAAAATAGTTTATAAAACATATCATTGTATATGCCAGTATGGTTGCTAATAAGGTAAGATACCTGACAGTAATAATGTATAATAAAATCTCAGGTTATCTCAACTATCAGTGTGGAATTAGTGTCCAGTATTTCAGAGACTGCCTATGTTTCCATCATCGTGGGTTTATGTGTTTTCATACTTGCACACTGTATTTATACACAGGGCTTTTGTCTGGCCTAAACTGGACCATGTGACAGTCACACATGCCCTCTTTCAGTGCTGATCACTTGAGGAACAATGGGTGGAGTCCATCATTATAATCTATATTGCTTGTCGTTGCTCTTATAACATTTGTATTGCAGGGATACAGCTCATAAAGAATAAAATTTACTATGTACTTCTGAGAAAATTTTGCAGTCCTATATTTCTCAAAATACTTCTGTTTAAATCATTCCTGTTTTGTAGTTAACTTTATATTGCAATTATGAAATGTCTAGGTAAGAACAAAATATTAAATTAATATTATTCCTATATTTCTTAAATAGGAGAAACTTCTGAAGCTTCAGTCTGAAAATATGTCTGAATCAGAAATTGAAGAGTCAAGAATGAAATCAAATTCTGTTAATAAATGCATTATAATCGACAAGTGTAGCCTGCTGAGGCATCAGATTCTTATAGCAACATATGCAGTGGGTGGCCCCAGTGAACGGATACTACCTGCAGTTGTTATAGATGCAGAGCATTTAGATGGGGATGGTGAGTCAAACTTGTTCTGTAGCTTGCCTCCTCCGAAATTGGCATCAGCAACAAGAAAGATGAGAAGCACACGACTCAAAGGTCAAACTGACATTCAGAGATTCCTCCAGGATACTAAACAAGGTCTCCATGATGCCAGTTGGTTGTCTCATGCCAGGAGAGCATACAGAGCCTCATGCAGTGATGACATAAAGGTATGAAGTATGTTGGCACAGTGATAACACGGATGATTCAAACTCTAGAAATATTTTATTCAAATCATAGATGACATGTCCTCCAAATTTCTTTGGTTTTTCCCTGGTAATCATCCATGTCCTCCAAATTTCTTTGGTTTTTCCCTGGTAATCATCATTCTATCATTGCACCATATGCACCTGAGATGTATGATAGTCCCGACCACGAAGTACATTATCACATCGACAATCTTTTAGTTATGGGGCTTCGTCTCTCTCCTGGAATTTGGCTGGTCATGGAGTAAGAAAGTGTTATATACGAAGGGCATTCCATAAATAATGCCTCCTATTTTTTTGTGTTAGTATGTAATGTCTGAGATGGATGTTGGTGGTGTTGTAGTAAAGGCTGAACCTTCCCACCAATGTACTGTTAGTTTGGTCATCGTGCGACAGATAGAGACAGGAGAGCAGTCTACCAAAATGGTGTCTGACATAGAAGTGTGTATGAAACAGAGATGTGTTATTGAATTTCTCACTGCCATTGTACCCATTGACATCCATCGACACTTGCTAAAGGTGTACGGAGACAATACAGTGGATGTCAGCATAGTGAGGCAGTGGGTAGTGCGTTTCAACAGTGGCGAAAGTGAAGTGCACGACAAGCCACGCCCTGGGCATCCCTGCTCAGATGTCACTCCTCACAATGAACAGCTCATCCATACAGATCGGCAGATAACGACCAGGGAACTGTGTGCACAGCTTAATATTGGCTGTAATGCATTGGAAAAAATGTTGGGGAAGCTGGATTATCGCAAAGTTTGTTCCAGGTGGGTCCCGCGGATGCTTACACAGTACCACAAAATTCATCGAATTGAAGTTTGTCAGGACCTGTTGCACCAGTTTTAGGCTGAAGGTGACAAGTTTCTGGACAGCATCGTCATCAGAGATGAGACGCGGTGTCACCACTATGAGCCAGAATCCAAAAGACAGTCCACGAAGTGGCGACATCCAGATTCCCCAAGAAAAAAGAAGTTCAAGACACAGCCATCAGCAGGGAAAGTGATGTGCACGGCCTTCTGGGATAGGCGGGGTGTGATTTTCTTGGATTTCCCTGAGCCTGGTGAGACTGTCAATTCTGAACGCTACAAGCCGACACTGACTAAGCTGGAAGCCCGCATTTCCTAAGTCAGGCCAGAGAAGCAGACAACCTTTCATTTGCAACACGATAACTCTAGACCCCATACCAGTTTGGCGACCACCGCGCACATTGCAAACTTTGGCTGGACTGTCCTACCACATCCACCTTATAGCCCCGGTTTAGCACCTTCAGACTTCCATCTCTGTGGGCCTATGAAAGATGGACTACATGGGCAACATTTTCCAGACAATGATGCTGTCACTGCAGCTGTAAGAAAGTGGCTAGCCTTTGCTAGCACAGACTTTTACGGGCGTGGCATACAGGCTCTTGTTCATCACTGGCAAAAGTGCATAACGAATGGTGGTGATTATGTGGAAAAATAACTGTAAGTAGCTGAAATCTTGCTCTATTTAACTGCATTATTATGCTTTCTGTATCTGTTGTAGTTTTTTTTTTAAATAGGAGGCATTACATATGGAATACTCCTCATAAAATAACTGAACAAATAAACAAACAACAAAAGAAGAATGCTATCTCTTGGGATATGGAGTCATGTAGATCTGGTATCAAGGATTTTCAAGGTAGAAAAATCCACGAGTGAGGAACCAGCGTGAGCAGATGCTATCAACCCTGAAGATGGAGGCGACACGTTCCTCAAAAACGTCGGTTCACAAAATATCTACATGGCATCACATCCCAGAAGACAGCATTCTTCATAGTCACTGCTGCAAAAACCTCAAATCCTACAAACAACAATAGAGGTTATTAGGGTACAAAGCATATTTTCCATGTCATACACACACAACTGAAACATTTAACTGGTAACCAGTTGCTCATATATATGTGTGTGTGATTGATTTTTATTTTAGCTAAATATGGCACTAAGCATATAGTGAACTGATTTAATGGTATGACCAGTCACTGCAGATGATGTGAATGAGACAAAAACAGAACCCATGATTTTATCCACATATCATCATGCAAATTAAATAAAAATAACCATGCAATTCAGTAACCTATCAACATGACACACCTATAGACAGACAACTGTGTGCCTGCTTTTCATTAAGAAACTTTGAGACTATAATTTCTTTATTAAAGATACTTTGCTATTAAAACAACTGGTATGTGCAACTTGTCACTGCATAAAAATATCAGTATCTCAAGAACATTAACATATTGCTCCATTACACATTTTATTTTTAATACCGCCATCTTGTATCATGGTATCAAAGAGGATCTATCTTCTACAGAAATATTTGCAAATTCCAGGCCTTGTTTGGCTAACATATCTCTGACACATATAATTTACATTTATCCTCTCTGCTTCATAATTTTGCTGTAAAATATGCCATGATATACTGTAATGCTTTACACTGTTGTGAACTGTAATTTGCAGGGTTCTGTGCTGTTGGATCTTCTTGAACAAGTTGCAAAGTTGAGTTCTAATTCACAGTATCAGTTAAGTGCACCACTGCAGGAGAGCAAATATGGTGTACTGTCTCCAGAAGAATGTCTTGGTGTACAAGTAGTCATAAGGTTAGATATTCATATATTATTATTTTAGATTATGGCCAGATTAACCTTTATGAGCCGAAGGACACTGTATGGGGACCTTTAAAGTAAAGCCGAGTGGCCGAAAGACACTGTATGGTGACTCGCAGTCCATGCATGCGCACAGTGTTTTAAAATCTAATTTTAAGATAGAAATTCTTGTTCTACTTACATTATTTTTGGACATCAGCTTTATAAGTAGACTGTCTTCCCTCCTGCATCATCTAACTGAATGTTGCATGTAACTGAATGCAGAGTCCGACGTCGCAATTCATGCACTTTGTCCGTATGTAACTCTGTTTTCCACGCGAAGCACACATACGCAACATCTGTCTCGTATTAGCAGGAAGTAGGCCAGTGATGGCGAGTGGTCTCCTGTATTCGTAACTCTTATAAATCATCACAATTTCAACTATGCACCATGGCCCAATTTCACATGGAAGAAGCCGTAATTGAGAGGCCGCTCGTAAATCACACCATTCAGAATGCGTTACAGTTTATTCTTAAGGGACTTGGAAGCAAGTGGAATGAGGTGATATTCCAAGAACAGTGCCTCTGTGTGGATAGTCCGACATACCATGCATAAACAATCAGAGTTTCATAAGGACAAAGAAGTCTAAGAACTCGCCCACACTCCCCTATACAAGAAGCCGACAGGACTGGAAAATGTGCAATGAAAACATAAACATGCTCTCTCCTCCAGATAACAGTCAGGCCGTGTGTCAGCAGCATGCATTTATACTGCAGAAACGTTTCATGCAGAAGCTTTATGCATTTTTGTGGACAGACGCTCAAAATTGGGGAAAATTTTGGGGGGAATCAGTGTAACAATTTTTACAGATTCTAAAATCTGTAAATTACAATATCTGATTCTATATACTTCCTAGATAAAAGTAGCATTTATTTCGTTCATCACAAAAATTGTAGAAATCACAGCATTTTGAGTAACATGATTACAATTTTTATTACTCTACAATGGTGGGCATTTAAATTAACTCCGTCCCGCTGCCACTACCAGAATTTAAATGGCCCATCCCTTAAAGGTTAAGAACAAATGTAGGACATGAAGAGTACTGTCCTCTGGGATGTGACATCATGTAGTCTTGTTCTGGGGCTCACCCAGCCTACTGTACAATGGGTACCCAGGGCTACTTCCACAGGGATAAAGCAGTAGTAGTGTGAAGCTGACCATTCACTTCCATCTAGTGCTGAGGTTAATAACTGTGGAGCTTTACCTCCACTCACCCATATGTCTTCAAGGTGTGGTGCTTAATTAATTAAACCAGGGAATAACTTTTACCTAGAACTTGTTATATATATATATATAGTTTTACACAGCTATATTGCTGTAATTTTAGTAGTACATAAGTATGAATTAATTTAAAATTACATCTGACACAGGTATGGAGTTGAACTTCATCTGCTTCAAGAAAGTCCACAAAATGAAGAAAACTTAACCCAGCTACTTTGTCTCCTCAAACACAGAAAGTGTGAAACATTCCAGGGTTTGGATTGGTTTGCGGCCACGGTGTTTCTTTTGTGTGGAGGAAACATGGAAAGGTGTGTGTTACTAACAAATGGTAAGCCATCATTCGCTGCCCATATTTTACACAAATCCCATTCATCAGTTAGAAAGTTCAATGTTGAATAAATATGTAAGATATTTTTCTGCATGTCCCGAAGAGAGATGATTACAACATTTTCTTAATTCAGTAATTTGCTTCTGCATTGTGCGTTCAAGTTCCAAGGTCTCCGATTTTTTTTTCTCACACATTAATCATACAAAAAATTTGAAACTTCTGTCACTTTTCAATGTAATCTCCCTGCAGCCATGCACATTTTTCAAAACGTCGACGCCATGATTCCATGGCCGCTGCGAACGCTTCTGTAGGAGTCTGTTTTCACCACTGGAAAATCGCTGATGCAACAGCGGCATGACTGGTGAATGTGCAACCACGGAGAGTGTCTTTCATCGTTGGGAAAAGCCAAAAATCGCTAGGAGCCAGGTCAGGTGAGTAGGGAACATGAGAAACCACTTCAAGGTTGTTTTCACGAAGAAACTGCTGCATTGCATACGTCCGATGCGCTGGTGCATTGTCCTGGTGAAAGAGCACACGTGCAGCCTTTTCCGGCCGTTTTTCTTGCAGTGCTGGAAGGAGCTTGTTCTTCAAAACATCTTCGTAGGCTGCACCTGTCACTGTAGTGCCCTTTGGAATGCAATGAGTAAGGATTATGCCATCGCTGTCCCAAAACATGGCCACAATCATTTTTTCAGCACTGGCACCTACCCGAATTTTTTTGGTGGCGGTGAGTCTGTGTGCTTCCACTGAGTTGACTGGCACTTCATTTCAGGATTGAAGAACGGCATCCATGTCTCATCCATTATCACAATTGATGAAAAGAAAGTCCCATTCATTCCCATTGTCCCATTCATGACATTCGGCCTTCTTTGAGCTGTCGCACCCACAAACGCACATTTTTCACATTCATGACACCATCACCACGTGTCTCACTCAACTGGCAATGAATTTCAATGGGTGTCGCACCACGCAAGTGGAGAAAACAAATGATACTCACTGTTCTTGTAACGAAAATGTCGCAGTTTTAGGTATCAAAAACACTCCTCACTCTCACCGCCACTAGAGTTCTGTGTGCTGTACAGTGCTGCAATCTCTGTCACGCATTCACAAAGAGTGTACACATATTTTAAACTAAACCGCATGTGTCTATGTGCTCCCAGTCCTGAGAAAAAAAAATCTGAGACCTTAGAACTTGAACGCCCCTCGTAGTATATGACACTATACTGTGGTATAATTTTCTCTCTTTTTTCCTTCTATATGATAAATTCCTAGGATTACAAAAAGAAAAGTTGTCCCTGTGCATAAGTAAGCACACCATGAGTATGCAAAGGGGAGTAAAGATACAGCTCCATGTGTTAACCTTGACACTATATTGAGGTGAGTAGTCAACCCATACCCTCACTGTATTTCCCTGGTACCCATTGGATAGATTTGAAAGGGCCCAGAGCCAGTCTGGATGCTGTGCAGAAAATAAAGTCTCTGCCCTTACCAGAATCACTCAATCTGTCAGTCGTCCAGCCTGTAGTGCGAGCTGTAGTCAATTTATATTGAGCTATTATAGAAAGAAAAGTTGCATGCATGGCAGTAGATGAGAATAAGAGACCATGGCAGCAGCAAATGAATGTACTCAAAGAGAAATCTGCCTTATGGCCAGTGTGCCCCCAAGTCCCACACAAAGTGCCCTGAATTTGAATAACATAGTGCCATGTAGAAAGAAGAGTGCTCAGATGCCAAACACTTTATTATCAGTTAAACTGAAGTGCTCTTCCAGTTTTGAGTTACCTCACTGGAAGTGTACATCCTATTATGTCTTTAATATAAAGTAATAAGTTGTCTCTGCAATTAATTAACAAGTCATAAAGATGTTTGGGTATAGTTCCACCATTCTTGATCTTGGTACTGTATGGAGGTGAGTGGTCAGCTTCATGCCCTGACCACTTCTCTCAAAGAGCTAGTCTGCACACTCTGGAGAAGAGAGAAATCTTTCTCTTGCCCCTGCAAGGAATCAAACCCTGATTCATCAGCCATCCAGCCTATGGCCCATCAATGTACCAAGAGATTTACCCCAGCTCTCGTTTTTATTATGATTATTTCATAATCTGTAATGATTTGTATTCTTTGCATAGGTGCCAAAGTTGCATAGGAAACATATCAGCTTTACCTGTGACGCCATTTTTATGGCCTGCTCATGCTTCAGCTAAAGATAACCTCCAGTCTCTCTCACAGCACTCAGCTATGTTTGGTCACATACTTGAACTACTAATCAAAATGGAATTACCACTTGCTTTCTCTGCACTTCAGGTAACATGTCTATTTATACAAGGTAATCCAAAAATATTTTAACATTTAAAATTGGACTTGAAAACATTTTTGTTATGCAAACAGTGCTTCATATAGTCACTACATGATGTCCATGAACTGAGCAAAGTTGCATTCAAACTTGTATTTAGGAGGTGCCTGGTTCATATTTCAGCTAGGACTTTTCCTTAAGCATCTTATATTTATTTACATCTTCATCTAAGGGTACTTTAATGACTGCACAAATTACTGGACAGTGGCAGCAGTATCAATCCACTGAGCAAGTTCATGTAGTGGTAGCATTTTACACTTATTTTTGGAAGGTACCAAGTTTGAATCTCAGCCATGCTGCTGACTGTCCTAACACGTTTTCAGAGATTTCTGTAGTCCCCCCTAAGAAAATGCTAGGACACACCTTCAAGTAGGTAATGAGTACCTATCTTATAATCCTTGCCAAATTACCATCATGATCATCTTCTCATATCAGTCAACACTATGTAATTTCTACAGCTGAAATAGTATTATTAAATAACTCAATTAATAAAACAGGATAGCATAAGATGTGGCTAATTTTGCATCCTTTTAATTACACTGTAATTCTGGTTGCTTGAATTACATTTTAGTTTATTTGTAGTTTATGTAACGTCAGTAACTATATAAATCTTGGTTAACACCCTGCCACAAAGGTTAAGGACGTAAGGTCCTGTATTTTCCTAGCCTTGGCACTAGATGGAGGTCTGAAGTTATGGCTATCTTTTACACACAAGAGAAGATGTACCTGTAACCAATGAAGAGAACGTCGTGTGGACAGTACAGCTTGTCACAAGTACATAATTAGTCGTTATTTTACTGTGTACATCCTTAAATAGTCACCATATCAAAATATGTTTCAAACAGACATTAAGTTATTCAGTTGTGTGCCACCAGTTTGTATAATGAACCATTTCTAGGAAAAGAAATTTAACCTCTAACATACGGACTTTTAAATTGCCAGCAGCCCTCTGTGGCCGATATTTAAATCGCCCTAATTAATTAACATTGCAAACTTTCAGAAAAAAATACATATTTTCTGTTCTATGCAACATAGAAATACAAACTACATGTAAAAACAACCTGAAAGACAATAAATTTTTCTACATATACAGAAAAGAGCAATTTTTACAAACGAAAATTAACTGTGATTATTTTGTCGTGAATTGCAAAATACAATCTTTATTATATATGTTATGAAATTCCAAAGGACTTACCGATTGTTTTTTCTTCGACCTTGAATCATGGTGATATTGTAAATATAATCACACTATATACAATAATATTTTGTTCAGACTGTACACAAGTTTGAACTGCATCACTTCACAGTTTACGATATACTCTGCCATGCGTGGCACTTCTCGAAGCAGTCCACCTCACACAAAGCGACATCGCACTTTTTACAATAGAAGAGCATGCTCCTGCTTTTCTTATTTAGCGAAACACTCGACGTCTTTGTTTCCCTTTGGTTGGCCAGTGTTGTGAATGTTTCACCTCCAGTCGACTCAGTTGGGCCCCAGGTAACCTTGGCCTCCTCCGAGAAGTGCCACCGACCGTGATATTCAGCTTTGAGACTTGGTGACATTGTTAATATAATCACACTATATACAATAATATTACTGTACGCGAGTTTTAACTGCGTCACTTCACAGTTTCAGTTCACAGTCACTTCACTATGATAGTCACACTGACACACGTGGCACTTCTCGAAGCAGTCCACTTCACAAAAAGCAAAATCACACTTTTTACAACAGAAGAGCGTGCTCCTGCTTTTCTTATTTAGCGAAACACATGACGTTTTTGTTTCCTTTTGGTTGGCCAGTGTTGTGAATGTTTCACCTCCAGTCAACTCAGTTGGGCCCCCTGATAACTTTGGCCTTCCCCCAAGAAACGCCACTGACCGTGATATTCAGCTTGTGCGATTGAAGAATCGTCTTGGGGGAGGGGGGTTTCTAGCAAAATCGAATAAATTATGTTGATTGACAAAGCGACACTCTCGCCTGTTGGTAATTCTCGCAAAATAGTGATGCAAATTAATTATAATACTAGTCGAAAAAGAGTGCCAGTCCGACACATACTGAAAGTCGCAGTGGCGAAGATGCCTTTTACTCACAAAGTAATACTGGCTCAGTGGGTTTATACCTCTTCCAAGACGCAAAATAAAAATGATATATAATGAAATATATGACAGTCTGACACTGACTTTCTAACTGATAAAGAAATATTAGACAATCCAAGACCAACTTCCTGACTGATAATTCGCCACTGAAAACCAATCCTTGAATGCGTCAGACTTCCTTGAAGGCTCCAGAAGCACTCATATGCAAGCACCGATAAATATTTCCTCATCAGTTCTCGAAACAAAGCTGGGTTATATTTGGCTGACGAGGTCATAAACAGTCATATCTAAACGTAAATAGTATCGAAACCAGTACCGTGATAAACGATTTCTTTGTTCAGAGCTAAGGAATGAACCACTGACATGACCTCACATGTTTGTTTTGGTTTCAAACCCAAGGTCAAACTGTCAGCACTCCCAAACGTAGCGTGTTTGGGCGTATAACGCTACAAATAAGTTCACGCCGTGGTTTGATATAGCGAGTTTATTCTGTTCGCTCGCATTACACACACTTTACAATCATCTGCACTTGCAGTCTTACAATAACCGATTACAATATTCCGGCGATACTGGACTCAGACGGATGTTCCGAAGTTTCTTCTCCGAAGGCTGTTCCGCGACTGACTTCTTCGAATGCTATTCCGAGACTGAAGGCTTCGTGTCGAAGCTGGGCTATTTATAACCTTGCCCGCTGTTAGGCAACGAACCCTTTGTTATAAGAGTGGAAACGTCGCTTTGTTGGCTCCGCGTTTCCTACGCAATAACCCATTGTTATCGCGTTGTCTCTGTGGGAACCTTCGCGTATTCTCGTAACCGTGGAGATTCGATGTTCTCGATACAACGGCTCACTGTTGGAATTACAGTATCGCTATTGTTACTTCTTATGCAACGGTCTGTTCTGGTGTTTCCATAGAAGTGCCTCTCCTGGATTGCAGACACGTTACATTGCTCCCTTCTAAAGGTTGTTCGTCCCCGAACAGCCTAAAGGTTCTCCCTCGGTTCCGATTCCTCGGTGTCCTGCTTGCAACGTCTGCACTCGGCCCTGGTGTCCTGCTGACGTCTTTGTGCGGTGTTCGTCCAACCGCATCCGCCCCTCTCTTCGGTGGTGCTCGCCCCCGAGCACTCCCGTGGTCCAGAATTTGTCTGTCGCCTTGTCTCACATTCGCTCCTTGCTTTTACTCGTCCCACATTCGTTCTTCATGCACCCTTGCTGGGGAGGCCGGTACTTCTACGTTACTGGTTCCTCCCATAAGGGCCGTTCTCTTTCTTCCGCTCTGGAGGGGGCCTACCCCTCCATAAGATCCAAGAGTGCATGTGTCCTGCATCACATATGTGTCATTCGGCCAACTCCAGTTGCTGCTTGTGACATTCGGACATTAAAGGTTAATCGGAACTTTATGTGAAGCAACAGGTTATGCTGGATTTACTATTTTCTTCTCACACAGATCTTTCAATCCAAATTTAACTTAAATTAATCAGTTTTGGAGATGAAATATGCATATACAGGACATCCCAATCATGCATTCATTCAATACACCTTCTGCAAAGAACATTTAGAATGTTTATATGGGGGTGTTTTTTTTTAAAGTTCTAGTTCCTTGTCATTATGCATCACTGCTATAACAGCCTGTCATTGACCCTCCCTTAAGTCAGCATGGTCCATACTCTTCTTCCTTCAACATTTCTGCTTCCATTTAGAATTTCTAACAACAAATTCTCTTCTCATCTATGACTGCCTTCTCAAGTTCCTCCATCTCAGTTTCCATTCATGCTCTTCTACGTTTCTTCATAACAGTTCCCACATGTTTGACAGGTGTTTAATTTAATTTATACTAAATACTGTGCTCCATAAAGAAGGTTTAAGTTCACTTTTATCCAGATAGATCCACATAGCTGTTGATCCACCTTCAAACTCACCCACCCATCTTGATTTTGCCCTTCATAAGTCCATGTTACATGGATAAATGTTACATCTGTGTATGTTATTTATTCATACCATGAATTTATGTTGGCATTTACAGCTGTGGCAGATAATCAATTTTCATTTATCTGATTCAGCTTGCTGGAGCATCCTGGTGGCTCATATGTCGACAGTGGATGGCTCAGTGTTTCTGGAATGTACTTGACTGGTCTGAGATTTGTCACTGGCTGGCTGTTAGTATTTTAAATCAGCCTGATTTTATATTATATTTCTGTGTGAGTTTGCTGCAACATATACAACCAAAAATCTTGCAAGCTGCAAGTGAAGGAAACCTTTGGGAACAGATAATGGTATGTACATAACAAATGTGAGCAATGTATGCCCCATCCAGCCGGTTTTATAATATCAATCTGCACCTTTTCCTGCTTTGCAGTGTGCTCCAATGGAGGGATTTCATGTTGGTGATCAACTTCCAGTCATGGAGAAATTAGCCAAACGTTACCGCACTTCTGTGCTCCATCATCTGTTAACTTCATTGAACAGCACTACTTGATGTGTCCATCAAAATAAAACAGAACTTGCCTTGTGATATTTATATATACTTCATGAATTAGTGATGCAGTGTTGATGTAAGCATGAATCTGGAAGTGTGCACAGAACTCCTGGAAGGAAAATTTTGTTTTCTTTCCTCATATAAAATGAACTGTTATTAATAAAGTGAAAAAGAAGTAATAAATTAAAGGTATCTGCCGTGGAGGCCCATAGAGTTGTGAGATGTTGAGGTTCCCACATTTTCTAGATCAACTCATAGATGGCGGCAAGGTTGTCAGCCTTACGCGCTGGCTGCCCTTTACCCACAAGAGTATTCCTGGTACTCATTTCTGCTAGAGGCTGAGTTGACCGCAGGGCCATAGTGTGCCTGGAAGGATTAGGTCAATTTAAAAAATCCAATGACCTCATCAGGATTTGAATCCGCAACCTTCCGACTTGTAGCATAGTGCCTCAACCAATTCTGTTACTAATGCAACATTAAATTTTGTAACAGTGTAATCAGTGGCTGCAAATTATCATGTCATGTGTAAGTATGTATTTTCAAGAGAATAATAGATTTTATCCAGTTTCTTCTTTTTCTTACAAGGTACTACACATCAGTGTTCCAAGACCTCCCTTTTTTTTTTCTTCTTCAAATTTCAGAATCATTAGACACACTTGTCTAATTCCTTAGATGGGAGATTGGCCCACTACAAGGCCTCTGCCAACAAAACAGAAGAAATTCAGACATACATCCATGCCTCAAGTGGGATTCAAACCCATGATCCCAACATTTGGGGGAGGGGAGCAAAAGCCAGTATACACCTTGAAGACTGTGTGGCTACTGCAACTGACTTCTGTCCATTTTAGTCATTCTAAATATGGTTTATAACAAAAACTTAAACATGTATGCACTATGGAATATGGCTGGCCCACAAGTTATAAGCATGTTGCCAAACAATGAATTTATGGACCAGTAACAGTATTTGCTACATCATGTCATGTAACTAACTCCATGGAGCAGAGTCTTTGAGAAGCTAAATATTGGTACAGCTACTCAAATTTCCTTATTTCTATGGAACATTAATATTAACTGTCAAGCTCACAAGAGCCTACCACCTGACCCCTACCTTCAGCCATATTAATCCAAACTCCGCCAACCTATTACCTCGTGTAAAGATGTAGTTGGTTGAGGCACTATGCTACAAGCCGGAAGGTCACTGGATCAAATCCCAATGAGGTTGATTTTTTTCAATTTACCTAATCCTTCCAGCCACACTGTGGCCCTTAGGTCGACACAGCCTCTAACAGAAATGAGTACCAGGAATATTCTAGGGGGTAAAGGGCGGCCAGTGCATAAGGCTGACAACCTTACCGCCATCTATGAGCTGACTGCTTAGAAAATGTCGCAACCTCGACATCTCACAACCCTATGGGCCTCCACAGTCAGTTACAGGGATATCTTTACTTGCTTGCTTTACTTTCTATGATCCACTGTTAACCTATTTTCCATATTTTGAAAAAAATAAAAGCTTAAGAAATCACCTTGCTGTTTGTGTGTCTATGCATCACTCCTGATAGGCAATGGCTTTGTAAAGAAAGGTAAAGTTGTCCTTGTGCTTAACTAATTAAGCACTAGGCAATAAAGACATCAGGGGTGTGAATGTACAGATCCACGTTTTCTTGAACTCAGCACTAGTTGGAGGTGAGTGGTCACCTTCATGCCTCAGCCCTTTACCCCCCCCNCCAGAATTAGTCTAGATGACATGGAGACGAGAAAAATTACCCCTACCAGAACTCAAACTCCGACCTCTCAGCTGTCCAGCCTGCAGCCAGTCACTATACTGACTGCACTGTCCTGACTAGAACTGTTTGACACATTTTCTATGTAGTCCATGTCATATCAATGGAAAGTAGGTAATCAAGTTTTCCCAGAATGTCTTGTAATACTATTCTCCCATCTCATTTTTCAAGTAACACTTCTCAACAGCTCCATATAAAATGCTGTTAAACACCCGCTGGAGTGGATTCTTCAGGAAGAGATTGCCAGACACACAATAGAATGGATTCCTCAGTACGAAACTGACATACACTGACTTGATTCCTTGGGAAGAAACTGCCTGACACATAATAGAGTGGATTCCTCGGCAAGAAACTGACACACTGAGTCAATTCCTTGGCAAGAAACTGCCTGACACATAACAGAGTGGATTCCTCAGCAAGAAACTAACATACACATAGTCAATTTCTTGGCAAGAAACTGCCAGACACATAATGGTGGGGATTCCTCAGCAATAAATTGTCACACACTAATTTGATTCCTTGGCAAGAAACTGCCTGACACATAAGAGTGGATTCCTCAGCAAGAAACTGACATACACTGACTTGATTCCTTGGCAAGAAACTGACACACACTGATTTCATTCCTTGGGAAGAAACTGCCTGACACATAAGAGTGGATTCCTCAGCAAGAAACTGACATACACTGACTTGATTCCTTGGCAAGAAACTGACACACACTGATTTCATTCCTTGGGAAGAAACTGCCTGACACATAAGAGTGGATTCCTCACAAGAAAATGCCAAGTACATGCTGGAGTGGATTCCTTGGCAAGAAGCTCTTAGGTGCATGCTGGACTGACCAGATTTAACTCCTAGTGATGTCCATCTATTTGGACCACAGAAGGAGTTGACAGGAGGCCAGGAGTTTGAACCCAATAAGCAGATACAGTATATTGTCTTTCGTTTAATGCAGAAGCTTTGAAAAACTGATATTAGGTCTATGAACCTCATAGTGATGGAAAGATGTATATATGAAATTGTAGGGTGAATGTGTATAACAGTGTTATATTTTAGCATCCTGTTACACTGATTCATGTCCATTGTTTATGCTGACTGTCTTATAGTGTATACACTATTTCACCTTATTCTTCACTTCCACACTACATGTTTCAGCACTAATGTGCCATCTTCAGGTGTCTTTATGCACGTTAAACTATTGTACTGCATGCCATAATGTCTTCATTCTAAAATGACTAAAATCTGTATTCGTCATACAGGAAGATGACAATGCATGCAGTAACAGGAGCAAAACACAACACAGAACACGATACACAAATATATGTAGGAAGAATGCTCACATAAAAGAGGATTGGTGTAATTCGCGTGTTTGAGTGCGACGTAGGAAGAATCCTGAAAAGTTTTATTATTTAGAATTCATCGTCCTGTATGACGAATACAGATTTTAGTCATTTTAGAATGAAGACATTATGGCATGCAGTACAATAGTTTAACGTGCATAAAGACACCTGAGGATGGCACATTAGTGCTGAAACATGTAGTGTGGAAGTGAAGAATAAGGTGAAAAAGTGTATACACCGTAAGACGGTCAGCATAAACAATGGACGTGTATAACAGATGTGCCAAAGCTCTTGTGGCTAGTGTAGATGTATAGAATAAAATTAAATCCTGAATTTCTTATACACCCCTTGTAATACGTACTTGAAGAATGTTTTGTTTCTCATAGTGTTAACTTTAAATTTGTCTCATTAAAGAAGAATATCACGGCTTGATACATATAATTATATTCTTATGTTTTATGTTGTCCAAATTACAACTTCAGTTTCACCAACATATCTGGATATAAGTTTTAGTGATGCATTACTTGGCACCCTATTATATACATAATTTTTCCCTAATATACTGTCATATCTTGAAATTCTTACAAGATCTGCAGTTTTTGGCATATTCACAAGAAGTTACAAATATGTGCCTATTAGCTTTCCCATGCCTGTCTATATGCATGTAATAACTCAAGCATGACTGAATGAATTTTCAAGAAATTTGACATAAGAAACTTTCAGCAGGTCAGCAGGAACAAAGCAATAAATGAAAACAAAGAAAAATAAAGTAAAAAAGGTAAACCTGTCCCTGTAACAAGCTATGAAGGCCCATAGGGGTGTGAGAGGTCGAGACTCCCACATCTTCTAAACAACTGGCTCAAAGATAGCAGTAAGGTTGTCAGCCTTATGCGCCTGCTGCCCTTTACCCTAAGGAATCTTCCTGGTACTCATTTCTGTTGGAGGCTGAGTCAACCCCAGGACCATACTGCAGCTGGAAGGATTAGGTAAATTGAAAAAATTCAATGACCTCATCAGGACTCAAACCTACAATCTTCAAGTTTGCAGCACAGTGCCTCAACCAACTATATTTCCCCGTGCCTCCAAGAGAAATAAATTAAACAGAAAATTTTAACTTCTCTAAATTTGTCAATACATTCCACCTTGGTTAAAACTGGACAACAATAATGGTCTGTGTATGCTTGCAACTCAAGTAAAGTTATCCCTCTGCTTAATTAATTAAACACTATGCCACGAAGACATCTGGGGGAGTGGAGGTATAACTCTACCATTCTTGACCTCAGCACAAGATGGAGATGAGTGGTCAGCTTCATGCCCTGGTTGCTTTACCCTTGGGGAAATCACTCCCTGTACCCATTGGACAGGTGGATGGATGGGCCCCAGACCTGGTCTGGATGTTCAGTCCAGAGCCCATTAGTATACCAACTGAGCTATCTGAAGTGTCACTTGCTAAATATTTGTCAGAACAAAAATGTTACAAACTGAAGTTGCAGAGAAAACATACTTCATGCCACATACACTTTCTCCCTTAAGTCTAACAGATTTAGATAATTAAATGAATTTTGAAACTCTATGAGCAATAACACAGCGAACATGCCAGTTGTTATAACATCCTAGGATGTGTGACTGTGGCAAATGCTCACATGCAAATGGAATTTAATGAAATGAAGTGAAATTAAACGAATATAAAATAAATCAAGCAATATAAAGTTCACTCACAGAACACACCATTTGACCCACTTTTATGCCAGCAATTATTTTTCAAAACAGAGCCTACAAAGTTCAAAGATACCAACCTCTACTGTCAATAACATTTGTAATTATAAACATAAATGCACATTAAAATAAATGAATGACAAAAGTAAAGACCAATTTACATTCAGTTGACCCTAAGTTTGCTTTATCATGGTCCTCTACTGAGAACAATATGAGAAGAGTTATTCCTCATGAATGTTGAAGAGTTTTGCTACTTCATTCAAGTCTGCATATTTCGTCTCTTCTTTCAATACCTAAAATAAATAAGAAGATTATTTCATTAATAACATACTATATAGGGACCCTTCTTACATGTATATAAATCATCTGTTACTCACTTGTCGAGCCACAGACATTCGATTAAACACATTCCACATGACAATTCCTACTACTACATCGTCACGAAGATAGAAGATGATACCCTTGCCATAATCTTCACTATGTTTGGGAGATTCTGGGGTGCCTGACGCTGGAGATACAGGCTGTGCTTCCTGTAAAAATTAAAAATAAATGTTGAGATTTGAGGTTTTCACAATGATGGATCTGAAGATTATGGTCTTCTGGGAACTGACACTGCCAGTATCTATGAGATACTGGCAGTATTTTTATAATTCAGTTATTCTTAGTTTGAAGAAAGCAGTCTTCTGGGATTTGGCACCGTGTATATGTGGTNAAGACTGCTTTCTTCATAGTCACCGCCGTGAAAGCCTCAAATCTTACATATTCTTAGTTTATTTTAACATATCAATGCTAGGAACCAACCATGATATATGTGACAACATTCCACAGCCCAGAATTGTAACATTATGTTTCGATTCAGCATGGTGACCACAAGTTGCACCACATTTGATACAATTACATGTGTTAAAACATATAACAATTATGTGATTAGCCTAGGTCTAAATATTACAACATTAGAAGGGAGTTAAATATAACTTATGTTGTTGTGGATGGAAACAAGATCAAGACCATTTCTTAAATACTGTCACATGACAGTAATGACCGTAATAATAGAGTAATTTTGTAATTCAGGCATCATTTCACTCTGTTTAAGACCTACAGAATTCTTCCATTTGTGCCAGATACACATACGAGTAATTATTTTTAACTTATTTCACCAAAAGAAAAGTTTTGTTCTAAAAAATTTGATATATAGTAGCCTTTTCAGAAGGAAACAATATTTTCCTTTGCTATTTAATTATCTATAACCTTTGTCTCCAATAATTTCTTATTATTCTCCCCCAGTTATCATTTTTTTAAATTGTTTATTCATTTCTTGAGTTTAGTACTCATAAATTGCGTTCACTATTCCTTTATTTCCCAGTTGCTCGAATTTACACAATGATTAAACCACAGAATCTCTATGCCAATATCCCAAAACAAACTCATTTCCTTGGATTTACTACTAGATATGACACTTCCAGAATAATGTGCCCATAGGTATATAAAATTTAACAAATAAGCAGGTGCTTACTTCCTCTGTTTTTGCTCGGTTGCTTTCATCTGTGGCTTCTACAACAGCCTTAGGCGTGTCCTTGTCTGTAGCCTTCGCAAATACTCCAACTGTAGGCAGTGCAGAATCAACAATACCGATGGCTTCATAACCGACATCAGGACCCAAATCAGACCAGAACATTGACTGATGCCAATATGGCTTTCCTAGAATAACAATCATTTATCTTTGTCATTAATCTCACCTTTGCAATGTGAAAACCAGCTCCAGGTGCTACAAACTCTCAAGGTACAAGATGCTCAAGAGGAAACAAATTTTTCCCATTCAAAGTTTTCAAGAGTACAAATAAGAGAAAATGTACAGTGCAGCCTCAAGGCACCCTAATGAGTATCTTCTCATCTAAAATATGTGGGTGGTTTAAATATGACATTTGATTTTGTTTCTCAAGCAATATGGATGGGTACAACCACTGCATATGTCCCTCCTTCATATGTTAACCATACTTGCATGCGTGTGTGGTTAGTCACACCACAAGGTGATGCCCTTAGAGCTTACCAAGGAGGTGGAGCAATGACATGCAGTCAAATTTTTTACAAAAGAAGGCTGAACACTGGATGGTAGTTGCTGAGAACTTGCCAGTGCACAGTTCCATGAGTGGCGTACAGCATTCAAGGAGAGTTGTTACATGGTGAGCAATCTCCTCCAATTACAACATTAACATACAAGTTTATTCTGGGCAACCACTACCTTTCTATGTGTAACACCTTACCACAAGTGTTGGCAATGGAGAAACAATCATTCATAAGCACCTTCACTATCGAGAAGTGAGCGCAAACTGGGTTTGAATCTTGCTGGGTCAAATATGCACCACCCTTATGGAATTTACTGGATTTTTCAAAATTATGGGGAAAAGAGGCACAAAAATTGTCTTGTGTCCAATCATAAAAGAGAAGTCTTTTCTTCTGACTGGCAGACAGCTTAAGTCATACTGATCCAGTAAGATTCGTCCAAAGAAATACAACATGTTAGGTTGCATGACAAGGCTGATTTCTTCCTAATATAGATCACCACTGAAACAGATCACCTATATTTCAACTGTGGAATGAAAAGCTAATGTTGTGAAACAGTTAAAAAGATTTCACATTAAGTCACAATATCTGACTACGCACATAATTCATACATCTGACCTGGCTCATCCTGGTCCGTCACACTAGCAATAGTATAAAATGACTCACAACACCATCCAGTGAGATTAATAAAAGTTGTATTTAAATTTTTAATTTTCCTTAACATGTTTCAGTCGGACTGCCCATCTTCAAAAGGACACTGTAATAGTGGTTTCCTAAATGTTGATTGTGTCCTTCTGAAGATGTTCAATCCAACCAAAACATGTTAAGGAAAATAAATTGAAATACAACCTTTATTAAACAATCACACTGGACAGTACTGTGAAGTCATTTTATAATTCATGTACATTTTTCTGATAGCACAAATCAAGGAAGAAAAAACAGCAAAACAATTATTGAACATAAGCAGCCTTTAAGCAAAGCAATTTTCAATATTTTTCCAAGTTCATGGCTGAATTTTAAAATAAAAATTAAAACATCATAGAGTAGTGTCTTGAGAAGTTGGTAAATGCTCAGCTGCTCAAAGAACCCCCATCTTTTATGGAGGTGGTATCGCGCCAGCAGGAGCCTATACATTTTTCTATTGAAATGGGAATGAAGATCATGAATTAGGTACAGGTTGTTTCGTACATAAGAGAATCGTATCAGCAGCCAAGAGGGTACAATTCATTAGTGATAAGATATCGTATATAATATTAAAAGATCGCTGGTGTGATATCATTGTTATGAATGTTCATGCTCCAACAGAAGATAAAATTGATGACATAAAGGATAGATTCTATGAAGAACTAGAACATGTATTTGATAAATTCCCAAAGTACCCTACGAAAATTTTGTTAGGAGACTGCAATGGCAAAGTAGGGAGGGAGACATTTTCAAATCAACAATTGGGAATGAGAGTTTACATGAAATTAGTGAGTTAGAGTTGTAAACTTTGCCACATCAAAAAATCTTACTGTCAAAAGTACAATGTTCCCACATCGTAACATCCATAAATTTACTTGGACATCTCCTGATGGGAAAATAAACAATCAAATAGACCATATTTTGACAGACAGGCGACGGCACTCAGGTATACTTGATGTCCGATCATTCAGGGCAGCAGATTGTGATACTGACCACTACCTGGTGGTGGCAAAGGTTAGGGAAAGATTGGCAGTGAGCAAATAAACAACACACACAGCTCATATGGAGAGGTTCAATCTCAAGAAATTAAATGAGGCAGAGGGTAAAGAGCAGTATCGTTTTGAAATCTCAAATAGGTTCACGGCTTTGGAAAACTTGGACACTGAGGTGGATGTTAATAAAACTTAGGAAACTATTAGAGAGAATATAAAAATGTCTGCCAAAAAGAGTCTAGGTTATTATAAACCGAAAAAGCACAAGCCATGGTTCGATGAAGGACGCTCAAAATTATTAGATCAAAGAAAGCAGGCCAAATTGCAATGGTTACAGGATCCAAGCGAGTTAAATGGGGATAATCTGAACAATATAAGACGTGAAACCAGCAGGCATTTCAGGAACAAAAAGATGGAATATCTGAAAGACAAAATTGATGATCTTGCAATGAACAGGAAGATCAAGAACATCAGAGACCTGTATAGAGGAACAAATGATTTAAGAGGGGTTACCAGCCTAGCAGTAACTTAGTGAAGGATGAGAATGGTGATCTGCTTGCAGATTCCCACAACATTTTGAATAGGTGGAGGAACTACTTCTCTGTTATTGAATGTACATACAGTCAGTGCTGTTAGGCAGACATAAATCCATGCAGCTGAGTCATTAATACCTGATCCTAGCTCTTTTGAGACTGAAACTGCTATTGCAAATTTAAAACGGTATAAATCGCCAGGTAGCGATTAATTTCCGGCAGAACTTATTCAAGCAGTAGGCGAAATATTACATTCTAAGATCCACACTCTAATTACTTCTATTTGGCATAAGGAAATATTGCCTCATCAGTGGAAGGAGTCTAGTATTGTACAAGTTCAAAAGAAGGTGATAAAACTGACTGTAGTAATTATCAGGGGATATCACTGCTATCACCTTCATATAAAATTTTGTCCAATATTCTTATTTCAAGGTTAAGTCCATATACAGAAAAAATTATTGTGGATCATCAGTGTGGGTTTCGACATAACAGATCAACTACAGATCAGATCTTTTGCATTTGTCAGATATTGGAGAAAAAAATGGGAGTACGATGAGACAGTACATACATACATACATACATATATATATAGCATTCCATAGATCCTTATGTTAGTCAGAAAGACCATAGGATGTGGAATTAGTCAAAAAAATCATACAATACATATACACGAACAAATCAAACTATTGCAAAAAATTTACCAATGAAGACAAAGTCACAACAGTAGTAAAAGGTTCACAAAAGTAGTGAAGTGTCATCAGCTATTCATAGACTTCAAGAAAGCCTATGATTCAGTTAGGAGGGAAGTATTGTACAATACTCTCTTAGAGTTTGGGATACCCATGAAACTAGTTAGGTTGATTAAAATGTGTTTAAACTAAACATATAGTAAAGTCTGTGTAAGTAAACATTTGTCTGATAAATTTCCTATCAATCCTATCAATTTGCTACCATTTGGTCCAGAACCTTTTGTCTTCTTGTCTGTTGTCCAAAAACATAAATATTAGAATATACAGAACTATAATTTTTCCTGTGGTTCTCTATGGGTGTGAAACTTGGTCTCTGACATTAAGGGAGGAACATAGACTGAGGGTGTTTGAGAACAGGGTGTTGAGGAGAATATGTTGACCGAAGAGAGATATAGTGACAGGAGGTTGGAGAAAACTGCATAATGAGGAGCTTCATAACTTGTACTCTTCTCCAAGTACAATTAGAATGATCAAGTCAAGGAGGGTGAGGTGGGCAAGGCATGTAACACGAATGGGGGAGATGAGGAATGTGTATAGGATATTGGTGGGAAAGCCAGAACTGAAGACCAAGGCGTAGGTGGGTGGACAATATTAAAACGGACCTCAAGAGAGACAGGATGGGATGGTATGGATTGGATTGATCTGGCTCAGGATAGAGACCAGTGGAGGGTTCTCGTGAACATGGTAATGAACCTCCAGGTTCCATAAAATGCTGGGAAATTCTTGAGTAGCTGCAGAATTGGTGGCTCCTCCAGAAGGGCTCAGCTCCATGAGTAAGTAAGAGGTTCATTACTATGTGTAAAGGAGCCAGCAAAAATTAAACTGTATACAATATAATTTCTGCATACCACCACAACCACAGTTGAATGCTCAGCATTCCTGCTTTGTATTTGGAATATCATTAGTTCTGATCTTGACTCAGAGACTGGCTGAAGATTTTCCTAAAGTCTCTTCAAGCAATGCTGAAACAGTATCTTCAACTAGGTCACAACTAGTTCTTTCCACATCCCTCATTCAATCCATCCTACCATTTGATGCTAACTGATTTAGTCTGAAAAATGTAATTAGGCAGCCAAAGAATCAACCAAGTGTTGAAGTAAGAGAAACGAAAGTACCCAAGGCAAAGTACACTACAATGAAATATATTTTAATGTCACACCTGCACCAGTCATATTTTCTCCTGCAAGACGACCAGAAACTACAGCATGATCATGATGTTCTACTCGGCGGCGTCCAAGTTTCACATCGTAGAAACACATGCAGTCTCCTGCCTTCAAGTCAGAGAAGCACAATATTCAATACATCTTGCCAACAAAAACACTTTCTTCTTGATCTCTTTCAATGCCTGCATCATAAGAACAGTTTTACTACATAACTTGCAACCATCAAACTTTTATCAACTTCACAGTTGTTCTAAGAATTCATCACCCAAACTATTGAGAACAAAACACTGTCAATAAAACTGCTATCAAAAACCAAACCTAATCCTAACAACCATTTGACACAGAAATGACGAATCATGTAATGACGTGATTCAACATGTGCAAACTCAACAGTATTCCCGGGTGCTGCCTAAAAATATCAGTCCACTTAATTGTCAGACAATGTGGGAGATTGTTACACTTACGCTCCAGAGATTAGATCGAGCCATTAGTTCTGCATTAACCAGGAAGCCACCATAATCTTCATCCAATTCCAAATCTGAAGTTCGAGCCAGATCTGTATTAGGACTGGCTCCAACAGCCACAATTATATGATCAGCCACAATCTAAAATTGAAATACAATTAACAGGACATTATAGTTAAACACATAACCCTAACATAACTACAAATGTTCATTAAATATTTTAAATGTCATTAAAATTATTAAAATGTATGTACATTTGGTGTTATGCTAAATGTTTCAGCTGCACAGGGCTATCTTCAGGCAACACATCTTTTAAAGGAGTCTACTGCACTGTGCACTTGGGCAAAGAGTATTCATTAAGGCATGTCATTATTAATTCTTTTTAATTCTGATGTTGTAAGGTGATTTTATATGACAAAGGAACACTAGATACACACAAACAGAGCGGCACACCAAACTGAACGTGAAAACAGCTGCAATATATATAAGAGGAAGAAAACCATCCTATAAAATCAACCTACATCTGAATTAAAAAAAAATACTCTGACGATGACGATGGGCCTTAATGAATACTATTAGACCAAGTACACAGTGCAGTAGACTCCTTTAAAAGTTATGTTGTCTAAAGATGCCCTGTGCAGCTGAAACACATAGCATAACACCAAATGTACATACATTTTAATAATTCTAATGACATTTTAAATATTTAATGAACATTGAGTGAATTAAGTGTGAATTAATGTTGTTAAGTTAATATTGTTGCATTATAGACGGAAAACAAGACTGTAAGTTATACCTCAATGCGACAAGATGCCGAAATATAATGTTATAACTACAAACTTTGTTGTCACACTCTCATATATATACATAGGGCCTGAAAATTGTTGTCATCCCCCCATAAGCTAATATTCCAAGCTGCTCAGCAGAAATTCACAACATCACAACACTGATTTATATGGAAAGTCTCTGCTATAGTTTCTTTCTTCAAATTGGTATTAATATGTGGGCTGTACCCTTCCTACTGCAGTGGAACCCCTGTTTAATATTTCTGTTTGTAGTTTTCCCTAATTTTTTACACTTATCCAATGAACCCACATCAATAATCTCATTACTGAAGTACCTCCATTTAAGATTTTCCTCAGTTCAGTGACAAATCCACTGTATTATCTCACGTCAACCACAGAGTTGCAAGATAACAGAAAATAAAAATTATTTAATTTGAACACAGAGATAAAAGGGCAGATTATTACTAGAGGATTGGGGTTCTCAGGACAGTAACTATAACAATGATGTCTCCTGGGTGTAGCACGGTAGTACAGTGTGTCCAAAAAGTCAGGTATCAATTATATAATTAACTGGTATCTAAAGCAGTATGTAAAACAATATTGCCTCCATCAGCCCAACAATGCTCAAGAGCATTCAAAGTATCTGGTCAGGTGAATGAAGTGTTAGTCTGAAAAGAACTAGCTTATGGAATGTGATGTTTGGTCTGGTAGCAGTTCAATGATATTTCAGAGAAATGTACTGCCTTCATCCTCAGAACTGAAGAGCAACCAGGAAGCATGAAATTTAATACTGTGGCAATCTACAATCTGATGAAGTTTTCAATTTTCTAGCAGAATTTAGCATAATTATCAGGACAAGTGAATACATACCATGAACATAGCTGAGGAACCTATTTAGCAATGGTTAATTCAGAATATTTGGACCATAATTACCTTGCTTCCATTATTAAGTGAGAGGACCAGTTGATCTTTCACCTTTTCCACATCCTTAACCTCAGCATTTGTTATAACATTTACGCCTTCTTTCTTTACCATATTTGTAGTCCACAAATTCAAATATCCAGGCAGTACTTTACCCATGTTACCTGGTTCTGGGAATATCTGATGCACATTAAGGCCTGTTTTACGAGCTGCAATATTTGAACATATTATTATGACTGATTATGATTAATACATACACTCAAAGACAATGAACACTACTTCTAAAGTTTAATTCTATACAATATAGAATAATGTGATTCTTATTAAAAATATGTAAAACACTGACAGAGCAGTAACTGCTAATATTCAATTGTTCCATTCCTTCAAAGCATGGAAAGCGTTCCTGGAAACCTTTCTTGTTATTCAGACCAAAACAGTACACATTACACTCATATAAAGAGCTTCTCTCTTCGCTGAGAACTGTCTGGATATGAGGTCTAATTTTTGTAAGCTTGTAACCGTTCATCCTAATTTGGTGGACTATTTTGTATTAATTAAATCTATATTAAGTTAATATCAAGAAAATACAAAGAGAATCCGGCAGATAGCCAACTCTTACATGCAGAAGGGACAAAGTTCAAGTTTTGCTATGTGGACAGGAAGTAACATCTGGTACTTTCCTGGAATTCTGGCAGTTTCAGCAAAGTCGGAAAATCTTTGAGAATTTGAGAGCTGACAGCTTGGAACAGTTACAACTTAGAAGTGGGTGGGCCGGAGCCTCATCCCCTGATTGTAATGCATCAAGTCGCTGTAAACCTTAGCATCAGGTCAGCAACTGCCAGAGTCACATAGCAAAGCAACCTGATTGGAAATTCACAAATTTAGGGAAACTCCTAGTTTAAAAACTTAACCAATGGAAAAGGTTGGAGGAGTGGATTTCTCCTGGAGTCTGTGGTTCGTGGACCTCAGTATTCAGAGAGAGTGTATTCCACCTCAGAGAGTCTTCATCCAACTTTCGGCCAAGTCGGACGCAATTTACAACTACATCCCTTCAGTAAAAGTACTGTAATGTATTTTGAGTTTGAATCTTGTTGGTCACGTGTGTAAGTCCAAATCCCACTTCTGACACCAAATGTAACGTGTTTTGTTACTGAAGACACCGTTCGGATTGTTAACTGGTTTATTCAACAACCTACATGTAACGGCTACAATTAATTACAACAATGTTACANCTGATACACTTTAACTCTCTCCGGGGACGGCTACAAGTTAACTCGACTACAACTGCCTCGGCAACTGTTCCAATTCCCTCATATAGCCGCAGTGCTTGCCTGTTGTGTAATGAGTGCCTTGTCACAGTAGGAATCGGTGTCACGTCACCATGTTTGCGTATAGCTTAGCAACGCTGTTACCTCACGCTGTCTTACATCACCACGCGTTGCACGTTACGTCACCGTACAGAGGGGGAGTGACGGAGCGCTGACTCATCCGCCACGTCACTGTGGGAGGGAGGGGTTCTCCTCCATTGCGCAACATGTCACAGTATTATAAGTAGATTTCTAAATAAGTGTTACTAATAGTTTCCTTTGTATTCAGTGAGCTGGAGTGAATTAAATAAGTACTAAGTGCAAAAGTCTGAAGTGGTGAGTGTGATTGCAAGGAAAGATTCTTCCTGCCCTGCCCAAGCCAGACCTGTATAAGACCTCGGGATAAGAACTCATCTCTACCAATTACAGAACAGAACCCAAATACTCCCATCTTTCCCTACTTGCGAGACACTTAATGGTAGTACTGAAACCGAACTCTCGCCTACCAGCACCAACAACCAAAATCTTCCTCCCTTCCCACCTAATTTCTCGCCACCAGAAGAAGAAGGAGGAGGGCAGTAACTCCAGTGGAGGTGTCTAGAAAGAGGTGCAGGTGAATTGCAACACAAGGAAGGAGAAGACCCGGATAAGTGGAGACCAACATAAAGGGCCCAACGAAGTGAGTGGTTAGAAGCTTAATTTATATGTGGCCATGGATACCGGTTTGATGGGGCAAGTCAGACATTAGCCACACACTTGAATTTTTTAAAAAAAAATGCAAAAAAGAAAATGTATCAAACAACGATAGCAAAAATTTAAATGGCAGGATTTTGTAATTCTGTATTTCAGCATCCTGTTGCAATTGCTTAACTTAACATCCATGTATTCATTAGGCACTACTTAAGACAACACCACATGCAGTGGAGGAAACACGCATACCAGGGGCACATGGCAGTCATAACTCAAAAGTAGGCTACGAACGTGAAGGGCAAGCTGCCAGAACAAAACACCTGGGACAGGCGTACATTTATGAAAAATGGACGTCACACCTTGTGAGGTGAAATAGAATGCACCAAAATAACGTGGGTTTAATAGAAATTTTAATAGATTTTATCTTGTTTTACCTCGAAAAGAGAACTACAGCGTGTAATTTTAACACTTTGCGGAACGGTGGCATATTTTTATGACCAGTGCTTTTAAACGTGGCAGACCGGTGGCATATTATTATGATTTTAGGATACATTATGTTGAAACACACTATACCTTGCACTGGCGCCAGGCAGACACATGACTGGTGCGTGATAGACCTCTTGAATGTTTGCTTCGTAGTCAGCAACATGACCCTGCTGTTTATGACGCAACTGTTTTCCTTTCCCACTCCAAAAGAAAATGCCTTTGTTCATCTTCCAGCAGCATGCACCAGGCAGGAACTTATAGTGCAAAATGGATCAAGGGCGGAAGAGGTTGAGGTCCAAGCGTTTTCTCAGAGAACAAGAAATATCTGACTTGCTCTCCGATGAGCTATTTGACGTCCCTTGTGAGTCTGCTAGTGACAGCGACTGACAATGTAATAGTGGGTGTGGCAGGGGTGAACAAAAAATTGTAGCCACAGACAGTGAAAGTGAAAGTGACAGTAGCTCCGACGAAAATGCAGGTAGCAACAATGCAGGGACAGCCACATGGGGAAAAGTAGACAAAACGCCTGCTTTGGGACAGTTTACTGGAAATACAGGGGTGAAGCAAATTTCATCTGACCCAACACAAGTGTTTGAATTAGCAGAACTGTTTTTCCACAAATCACAATTCGAGCATGGTTGATATTCAAAGGAGACATGGACAGGTAAAGACGCCCATTTGTATTTCCGAGTATAATATGTTCATGAAGG